TCCCAATAATCTCTCCCTGCCATCCCCCCGCACTGCTGGAGCCCTTGGATTGCCATCGAATTCACCCAACATGGATCTGCCGATACCAAACTCATCTGCGGCGAGCATATCCACGACTGCAAATATGGGTCCCATAACAACATCCAAAAACTGTTTTCAACCAGATGCCGCCGGATCGCCTTCAAGTCGACATCGCGGTGCTGGCGGCAACCCGGCAAACGTGTTGAATCATCATCTAAACAGCAATCCCAGTACTCCGCTGGCGCACCTCTCGCCCAAGGAACTCGAATCGTTTAACTCAACATCAAGTGGCGGTAATTACTTGAATTACATGAATAAAAGGAACGATACATTTAATTTACTGCATTTTAGGTGACCTGAAGAGCACACGGCCAAGTCCGCAGCGACCTCGCACGCCCGGCAACGGAAATGCCAACCCGAACTCTTCGAATCATCTGATCGAACCCAACAATATGGATTCGCGATTTCCGGCAACCAGTCCTGGGTTGAACTTTAATGCGCACCCACAATTGCAAAATAATCCAAACACTGCCATGAATGCATACAAAGGCCCCAATGGCAACAATCCTCTGGAAGTAAATGTAAATATTTACGATTCCCAAGAGGCTTTAATAAGCATATTCTAGTTGTTTAGTGTCCGTCTGTGTCTGGACGACTAACCTGCCTCTTTTTTAAAGCTCGCTAATAAAGTTTCTTTTTTTTTTGCAGCGTCAAAATTGCGTTTCTGGCGGACAACCTGTACAATTTGCTCGTCGAGCCGATAATATGCCGTTGAATCCTAACAGCAGCAATCGACCACCACCGAACAAAATGGCTCAGAACTTTGATCCAATATCGTCGTTGGCGCAGATGTCGCAGCAGCTGACCAGCTGTGTATCTGGCGTGGGAAGTCCCGCCGGCGGGATGAATATGATGGGTCCGGGCCCGGTTGATATGAACATGGAGCATGGCGGCGGCATGGTGCCTGGTTTGGATGCGACGAGTATGGATCATATGAGCCATGCTGCCGGAAGCAATGCGCCCAATAATTGCCATCCCATAAATCCGTTAATAAATTCGATGGGGCAGCGCATGCTTAATCCCAAGATGGCTGGCTTGAGCCCAGGGTTCAGTCCGGGACCCAACGGTGTGGTACGTGATGGATCAGGTCCAGTGGGTCCTGGGTCGGGTTATCATGGCATATTACCACCAGGCGCTCGTATGATGGGTCGGATGCCCGTTAATTTTGGGCCCAACTTTAATCCAAATATACAAGTAAAGGCCAGCACACCGAACACAATACAGTATATGCCAGTCCGGCCGCAAAACAACAACAACAATAGCAATAATAATGGCAATGTGCGCATGGCACCCAGCTTGGAGTTCTTGCAGCGCTATGCCAATCCACAAATGGCTAACAGCGTCGGCGGGCACACTATGGGAAATGATGGCGGCGGCGGACCTATGATGATTGGAGCCGGGCCCATGAATATAAACTCGCCCAGCGAGCAGCAGCAGCAACAACAAAACAAAATGGGCAACAATCACGGCGGCAACGGAATCAACATGAACTTTTTCCAGAACTGTAACCAACTAACTGGGCTCGACGATGAAGGTGCGTTAGGAGTGGGTATGCCAGGCCATGACATGAGCATTGGTCAAACGCCAATGATTCGTGGCATGCGGCCTCACGGCATGCGGCAACATGGTGGATTGGGCGTCCGTTTGCAGGCGCCTGGTGGCAATATTGTCAATCGACACCAGGGCCAGTTTCCTGGCGCTTCGGATGGCCTGGACTGCAACGATCCGTCGGTGATGTTCAGCAATGGCCCAGGCTCGTGTAATAGTTCGCCAGCAATGTTTGCAGCAGCACAAGGGCAACCGAAGGGACAGCACATAAAGCCTCTACCGGGCAACATGTGTCAATCTCAAGTCGTCCCAAACGTGGGAATGCAAGGCCCTGCGCCGGTTCAGGTACAGGGTCAAGGTCATCCTGGAATGGGTGGGCCCAATAACAGCAATCTTATGTCGTCTGTTGGCAACGGCGGCGGCTCCGGCGGTGGAATCGGAGTCAACTTTGTTGGTCCCTCATCGAACGATCTAAAATATGCCCAGCAATACCACAGCTTTCAACAACAACTGTACGCAACGAACACAAGAAGCCAGCAGCAGCAGCAACAGCAACAAGGTGGTGGCAATATGATCGCCATGCCATCAAATCTGTCTCCTAATCCAGCATTTTTTGTGAACAAGTAGGCGATCCAAGCCTAAGGCCCACTGATTTAACCAATTTGCAGGCCTGTCGGCAATTATTGAACTATGTTATTTAAAAGCTAGTCTCCGCTGATCTGAACGGATCGAGAGCATTAGGCTTTCTTCAAATAGAATTCGTTAGCTTATCGTAAATACTTTAGCTAAGCAAAGGCCTAGATCGAAAGGAAATTTCAATTTCCTTGTTCTCTGTTCACTGTTCATTCGATGGCGAACTATCAGATGAAATCAAATCACTAAAAAGGATTTTGTTAGGCATACATCACACGAGTGAAAGGAGATAATGCTGATTGGGGGTTTGGGGGCGACTATGTATATGTATAATTAATTGAGAATACCCAACTCTGCAGATCTAAATACTTATTGTAACCTGTACGCTACACTCTGTATTAAACGCAATTAAGCAATTGTATGTAATATAATTATTAAATATACTACTTATATTATTATATCAATGTTAAGAGAACTAAGATATACGCATGTAAATTCTTCCATTAAACATGTGAACACAAATACAACATCGACATCAAACATATGTATGCACAATATTATTTTAGATGCAACTACGGGAAAGTAACTAAATTCTTTAAATCAATGGGTAAAAATGTTATATGTAATGCCTTTGTGCAAATGTATGTAAAATGCAAAAGGAAATATCTGCAGCCCATTGGTATATATACTCGTGGTCAGCATCAACAGACAAGGTGATCTAGCCATGTCCATCTGCTTGTCTGTCTGACCGTCTAATCGATAAGCGATAACTTTCCCTGCTTCAAAGCAATCAATTAAGATTGATATTGAAATTCTATTTTTAACAAATCCCTTCGGTTTTAAGAGTTAAGAGTTACAAAATTTGACATTTTAGCCATAAATCAAATAAATGAATCATTCTGAGCTACCCAATGATTTAGACCACAATTAAGCAATTGTCCATCGCACAATTAAATTTACTGCTAAAATTTCATCAAGATCGACAATAAATTGCTGGTATGGTTGTTGAGCAGAGGTGATGCCAAGTAGTTCCGGTTGATAACGTGTCCAAAACCTCTTGGGGATACCTTTTTGTGTACATAAATGTATTTGTACTTATTACTCCCAAAGCAAACAAGTTCTTAGTGCGACCTGAATTTGGTGAGTTTGTAAAAGAAAGTTCAAGGTATCCCCCATCCTCCTATTTATGCGAATTCTCATAAGCATCGGACCATATTTCTGATATAGAAGAGATCGGGCGAATAGTTTTTGAGTATAGAAAAAATCATTTAGAGTCTGTGCAATGGAAGTTTGGTACTGGTTAAAGGATATTTCCAAGTCGCGCAGAGCTCTCTTGCATTGATTTCGAAATTATATTTAATGTATTAAATATGTTCTTATGTATTTTGCTTTAGTTTGTATTTGAATAGTATTTACTGTGTATGAATGTATTTATACAGAATTTGGTTTGTGCTTTCTTACATTCTATTTACATCAACGAATTACATTAACGAGTACAAATACAGTTCGATGTATCACCAGCACGAAAATTATTATTTTGTGGGTGTTCGTGTAAATAATATGTATAAATTCAAATTTAAGTTTTGCCAACCAATTTATTTATTTTGTTTAAATCGTATTTTTAGTGCTCGTCGAAAGGTATACTTGGACATTCTTGGATGAAATATGATTATATGATTTCTTTTGTTGCCTTTAAAATAAGTATGTAATAATTAAAATAACATTCTTTTATACGATCACTATGTACAATTTTAACATATGTACATACATATAGGTAATTATTATAATTATGCACGTAAATTTGATATATGTATAATATAAATCTAAATCTTAGCCTAGCACATAAATTACATATTTTAAAAGTTTTCGTAAAACTTGCATACATAGTTTTTGGTTGAGTTTCTCTTGCTAGAGATTTTGGTTTCAATTTTTATCTTATTAAGAAGTGGAATTTAATTATTTATTATTATATTTCGCTACAATAAAACATTTGAGTACATATACTCGTTTCCAGTTAATGTATTATACTACTAGGTTCACAAAATGTAAGAATCGATATTAGCCAAAATTCACAGTATAGAAGAGTTCGAGTACCCTTAGCCCATTGAAAACCGGTAAAATAAAAAGTATACATTGTTTTTTATGCAAATTAACCAATCAGAAGGAAGCATTAGGTATATATAATCTTCAGTAAAATGTCGGAAGGTACAATTCCTAAAACTTACAAATAAAACCATATGCAGAACAAGCTTATCAAATTTATACACTGCCCGAAATGTGTAATGCATGGAAGGAGACATTGCCGAACCAATAAATATATATATTCTTGTTCAGTATCACCAGCTTAGTTGACATAGCCATTTCCGTCTGCCAGTCTGTCTGTTTCTATGCGAACTTGCGTCTAAGTTTTAAAACTATTGTCACGAAACTTTGCAGTAGTTTCTCTTTCTGTTACACCCAATGCATACGTCGGAAATGGCTGTATCGGACCACTATGTGATATAGCTGCCACTATAATTGGTCAAAAATTAAGTTGTTGTATGGATATTTTTTTGTTTCTCAAGATACCTTGACCAAACTTAACATTTATTAGTTTTACTATGCTCCTCATATATATGCAAAATCCTATTAAGATCGGTCCACTATATCATGTAGCTGCCATTAAAAAAACCTTTTTGTTTTTCAAGAAAAGTAGATTCTTGCATGGAAAACCATTATGTTTTACAAGATATCTTAACCATATTCGGCATATGCTGTTTTCATTGTGCTTCTTGAGGTTTATGCAAAGGTTAGGTCTCCAAGGGTATTTAATCTTTGGCGTGCCGAAGATAGCCCTTCTTATTCGATTCTTTTGATTTATCCGGCATTCTTAAAATATTGAATCAAAAATTGAATTGGCGACATGGTAATAGGATTTACTAATTTTGGATTCCTCTAACCTCTTGTAATAAATCGTATTAGAAATAAACAAAAAAGAAAAAGGAAATGAAAATGAAAAACGTTGCGATTAAATATAAAAACAATTTTAGGGGCCAGATTCCAGGGTTTAGGGTTCAGGGTACAAGGTATCTCCTAATTAGGCACACCCGTCTAGAGCTAGAACTCTTGCTCGTTTCGACTGATTTAATCGGCAATTTCGATGTGAACCGAGTATTGAGTCGGCATTCAACATTCGACTGCAACGTTCTTAGTTGATATATTATTTGGTAATCTTAATAATTATTAATACATATTAGGATGTTAAGGTCTGGTTGAAGTATCGTTTGCTGCTCATTATCTCAAAATGCAATACCTACCCATCAATTTTTAAATGCAAATAAACTAATGTATGAGAATTGTTCTCGTTGAGTTCAGTTCATCTTCAATTCGAAAACCAGCAGACTTGTTGCTTTTCTTTGCTCGCCTACTTTTAGATAAATACCTTTAAGTACATGCTATATATGTGTGTTTCTTTGGAACAGTTGTTAAATTTAAACGCTCCTTGTTTTTCCAGTTTTTTGCCAGTGTCTGCTTTTACGAATATCCATCCGGCACTCTAATGATTGGTCGATGAATAATAATTGTTGTTACCTTCTGCTGCCACACTAAACAAGAAATATATCTGAAGTTTCCGACTTTGTGCACGCACTGCCCGTCGGCGATGCGGCGGAGACCAGGGAGTTGGCCCTGGTCGCGGCAAGCGGGGATCGTAAATCCTGGTTGAGGGACGCCTGATTCTGGCCGCCTTCATAGTAGTACGATGAGTCTAAAGGGGATAAATATTTCAAGTTAGTTTAGAATTCGTCTTTTTGGAAGGGAAAAGGCTATAATAGGTAATATGAGCTAATGCCATTGCACGGATATTCATTCACGACCCTATAATATAATATATATATTTTCTTGGGTACCATTAATAGGTAAGTGGATCTATAAAGCATCAAAATTTTAAACTACAATATAGATAGAGACCAAATAGAAACTCGACATTTTCTCTAAAAGCACGATTTTGATATAGATTTTAATCGATTACTTAGAAACAGGGCAAGTTATCGAGTATCGAAAACAAACTTGTGCTGCGCAGGCGCTTGGAGGACCTACACATCAAATTTCAAGTCCTAGCTTTAATATGTTCTGAGATCCTTGCGTTCATACATGCAAGTGTGGAAAATTGCGAAAAACGTTTGTATGACATTTTTTTGTTTATCATTCGATTAGTCTTAAACTCAATTTCAAAGATATTTGTTCAAATTTTCTTATCATAAATTTATTCCAAAGATTCAACGACTTTTTTGGTGAAGTTTTAAGATTGGTCCGATTTGCTTCAATTTCATTTTCAGAACTCTACATAAGAATTGGCGGTTTTTCAAAAAATTGTTTGTTTACCGTCCGATTAGTTTTAAAATTATATTCAAAGCTTTTTTAGAACACGTACCACGTGCAAGGCCGGCCTATAGCCGCCAATATATAAATATATTTATATATATATATATATACATATCTATTGAAGGCAGCTAGAATAATTGCAAAGAAAGCTCTGTGCTCTGCACGGCGCTCAGTCGGAGAAGTACGACTGGCCACTTACTTATTAGGCCGCTGCTAGTACCGTAGCTGTAAGATCCGTAGGTGCCGCCATATTGTGTATAGGCGGGACTGTAGGCGTAATCCGCACTGGGCACTACCGATCCGCACGCTGCAAGAGAATAATTCGATTGATTAATATCATATGTGTAAGCTAATGAAAACCATATTGAAACCAAAGAAAAGTATAACATATTATGCAAACAAATTAAACAACATATATGTAAATAAAGATGCGAACATTTCTATCTTAAAACTTTGCAATTTGAATATGCCTGATGAGCCTTAGATATATTATAGACTGTAGGCAAAGAAACCTTAAGTGCCACCACCAAGTATTGTGCTGAGAGATTGCCAGGAGTGCGAGAGACGAGAGGAGGACAACTTGCCTGCGGAGTAGTGGCTAAAACTGGGTAGCATTGTGGGCGTGGCATATATAGCCGTGCTATAATCGACATCAGGACGTCCTGCCTCGAGAGAGGAGGAGCTATTCGCATTCGCCTGCGGGACTATCAGAGAAGATGAGGTATTGGCGTTTCCATTGCTCGATAGTTGCTGCTGCTGGTGATCCGGAACTGGAACTGGAACTGGAACTGGAACTGGTTCGGGCATAAGGTGAGCAATGGAAAGGTGGAGGTTGTCCACATGGTTGATCCCACGCTGCTTGCCCAAATCATTGCGCAGGCTTTTATTGTTGGCATTCTCATCTCTAGCCACATCATGGACCGAGTCCTTTAGATTATCTACACTCGGCTCGCTTTGTTCATTTCTTATTGGCGCCAAGCTCGGCGAATTATTGCAATTGCCGGGACTTGCATCGTTAACACGTACCACCGCCGGGTTATTGGTGTTATCCAAGCTTGTTATTGTCGGGTAATTGCCGTTCTCGATGGCAATTGCTAATCAGAAGGCATCAATCATTTAGTTTCATTTATCTCAAATCTAAATAATTACGCTCAAAACAGTTCGACAAGACTATAAAAATCGATTCTATTTTCTCTCCGGCTCTGTAGTCATTTTTCAATAAAATAAGATCTAACTTTATAATATAGAATTCAATTTAATTTTTTATTTTCCGAGTATGAATTCTGGTTACCTTCAGTTAACCAGTTTCTCACTTTGTTCCCAATAATGAACCTTGACCTCTTCGCGCCTGATTTCCAAAATGGCCGCAGATGGCGAGTCCAGAACCTCTTTTCTGCTTCTTTTGGCCAATGAACGTCACAAATTTGACACAAATTTGATTTTGGCGAAGATCAAACCAATAAAAAATACTTCTACCTATTTTTATATAGTTTCAATTTAATATCAATAGCCTTTAAAGCTTTCCGTCTGAAAGAACCGATCAATAGACCCGATTTAAATTGCACTGATTCGATTCGATATGGCAGGCACATATTTAAGGCAATAAAATCGTTGCTTTCTGGATATCTCGGATATCGGGAACTCACTGACCATTTACAGCTATGAGTAGGCGGCATTGCTTACCGGTCAGCTATTTATTGTATTCTCTTAAATAATACAATAAATAGCCGATATATACATTAGAAAATTTGTGAATTCTAAATAGACTTTTAGCATTTCATTTTAATAATTTGATGTATTGAATAATTGGGAGACCCTCGTCGATTATTAATAAGTAAATATATAAATAAATAGATATATATATAAATAAATAAAAAAATAATTGATTAATTAAATAAAAAATAAATGAATAAATGAATAACAAAATAGATATATAAATAAATAGATAAATAAAAAAATAAATAAAAAATAATAGTTAATAAATAAAACGATAATTAAATAAATAGGTAAATATATAAATGAATAAATATATTAATAAAGTAATAAATATATAAATTAATTAATAAATTAATAAATAAATAAGTAAATAAATAAAATAAAAACAAAAAATAAATAAATAAAAAATAATAATAATAAATAAAAAAAAAATAAATATATAAATGAATAAATATATTAATAAATAATATAAATAAATAAAGAAATAAATAGATAAATAGATCGATAAATAAATAAATATATATTAATATTTGTTTTGACCGTAGCTTCAGATAAACCTATTTTAACCTATTTTAAACATATATCTAATAAAAGAAAACTCGTCTCGGCTGGGTGCCATTATTAATTGTTCATCATTTCTTCGCTATTGTACCCTTATTTTTCTTTGAACTTGAGCTGGGATAAATGCTTGTAGCCTTTAGCAATTGCTGTGGGCAATGCCTTACCTGTGTAAAAGGGCGAAATGGTTGGCTCCTGATTATTTGCACTGAATTTCATGTCTTGCAAGCTTAAAGGCATTAGGGGCGTCAAAGAACTGCCGCCTATAGTTTTGTCAAGAAATGTGCACAATTAAAATTATAAAATACGATAAAAATGCAAAAATAAAAATAATAATAATAATAATAATTTGACTGTTGTCAAGAGTAAAATTAATTTGTTTCTTTTCGCATTTACTAACCGATTGAGGGTCCTATGGGCGGCGTGTACAGCGTGCTCTGTCCCTGGGATATTGAGGCTATGCTGTCGTACATCATGGACGAGTCGTTCCCCCCCACAGCACTCCCAACTCCTGCACAGGATATTGTGCTCGTCGAGTATCCATTTGGTGCCTCGAAATAGGCAGGTGTGCTACCTGTGCTGGTCGTTGTGAAGTTACCGAGCTCAGAGAGCAGCTTGTGCTCATCCTTGATGCACCATTTTCCAGACCAAATCTTGAATAAATTAAATAAATAAATAATCAATATTCGCTTATACGTTTAATATTATTTTAGAGGGTTCAAGCAAAGACAATATAAACACTAAGATGAGTAACGCCATACAACAAAATGCTACTATGCAGCTTGATTTTTTGAAAATTGAGAACGAACACGAAATCTTCCATTGCGTTCTCACAGCCGAGAGAACGAAAAAGTTAAAAATAGAATTTGCTCTCAGCTTCGGCTCTATGAGGGCCGTGCAAGCAATTATGTTTGTATGCGTGTGAATATCCATACATACATAACAGCATATTTGAATGTGTTGTTATCCACTGCTCTGGCAAAATCTCTGGTTGGCAAAGAAACAATTTTCTTAGTTGTTTAGCGCAGATCACGAGCTACCCCAAATTTCTGTTGATACGTGAATACAATTTTTGTACTGAAGTTGGCTCCGTACAAAATATGTATTTTTAAGTCGATGCATACTTATGTAATTTTTTATATTTAAAATTAATAATTAAGTTATTATTATTTTTAAGTAATACAAAATAAATTAAGGAAATTGAATATTTAATTAATTAAATGTGTATTTGAAAACAACAAATTTGCACTTTTATTTCCTTAATTTATTGTGTTTATATTGTCTTTGGTTCAAGTATTTTGCTTTTAATCTACATTTTTTTTTATTTTTTTTTTAATTATTATTTTATTTGTCAAAACCTATTGCAGCATTTCTGTGTCAAACCCATTTTTATACCCTGAACCCATTAAAATTGGGTATAAGGGGTATATTGTATTTGTGCAAAATCCAAATGTATGTAACAGGCAGAAGGAAGTATCTCCGACCCCAGAAAGTATCTCCGACCAGAAAGTATGATCAGCATCAATACTCGAGTTGATCTAGCCATGTCCGTTTGTCTGTCCGTTCGTCCGTATGTCCGTATGTATGAACGCAAGGATCTCAAAACCTTTAAGAGCTAGAGATTATAAATGTAGGTGCTCCTTGTGCCTAAATTACTCCGTTTCCAAGCAATCGATAAAAATCGATATCGTTATCCTGTTTTTTGGGCAATTTTGGTAAATAATAAGAGCTAGAGTCACAAACTTGACATATAGCTTCTAAAATAGAATATATATATAGGCATTTGATATTGGAAGAAGAGGGTTCAGGGTATCTCCGACTAGAACCTCTTACTTGCTTTTCTTTTAATTTGAATATTAAAGGTACAGACATACCGGTTTGGGCACATGATGGGTTCAGGTGGAGTATACCAGTTGATACAAAATAAATTTCCCTATTTAGACACAAACTCACATTCCCCTAACATTAAAAAAATAGTCTTAAGAGGCTATTTACTCTCTAAACATTTTATAGATATAAGACTAATTTTAAACAAAATAAAATATTTATGTATTAATATAAAATGAACATAGTTCAATTGATTTTTAGCCTTGCGTATTCCGATGCTAAATTTCGACCTGGAAATTTCATAAAAATCGGACCACACACTTTGATATTAATCAACATTTCGCATTTTGTAATTTGTATTAAAATTAGTTTGTTTTGGATGAGTATCAGGATATCTAAAGTGCCAAAACATCATATTGGGGAATTCTAGCCTCAACTACGAAAAACTCGATTTTTTCAGTATTTTCGCTAAATCCACCTGTACGGGTGAAAATTGTGGGTAAAGGATTTAAACTTCACAATTTTATGAATATATATAGTATAGCAGACCTTATGCTATGATAAATAATATATATATAGAGGTACAACGGACGGACCAGAAGACGACTTTGTCTTTCTTGTTAATATTGAACAATAATAATATTGAACTTTTATAAAAGCAGGTGACAATTTCAGCCTGTAAACAGGTCATTTACAGCTCTACAAATTTGAGTGACAACTCTATTATAAAATTTTAAATATAAAATATTTAAAAAAAAGTGTTAAGTGCTGCCATCTAACTTACATTTGTATATATCTGATCTCCGCCGTAGGCCACACGCTGTCGCTTCACATCCTCTTCGGAATTCATGTTGACATCCCGATTTTCATCTGAAAGAGTGAATGTAAATGTATTTGTTCTTAAATTTTTTCAATTTTGCATATGTAATCTATGTAAATAAAATGTGTGCCTATTTACTTGTGTTTTACTTGATTAATCCCTTTCTGATATTCGTGTCAGTATCTGCTTACATCTGAGCCATGTGCCTTCCGTCTATCACCCACTTTCTCTCACCCCCGGCTCTTGCTGCTAATTCAATTACGGCTGTTACATTTGCGCCGGACTCTTTTCTGACGGGACACGTGCCTGATAAGTGCATTTGCGAGTAGCCAAGACGCAAATATGTTTGAATAAATGTGTTATATGCGAAAACAAGAAGGCTTAAAATGTCATATTGTAGCACCCAGTTAATATGCAGGCTTCCATTAAAATTGTAGCGATTTTGAATAAATTATCGGCTACCATTTTCTTGGTACAACAAAAACACAGTCAAGTTCAACAAAAACACGTGCGACAATTATGACTCAAAAGCAATAAGAGTAATAGGGCCTTATTTGGAACGTATTGACTTTCACTTTTGGAATTTCCGTAACACCCTTGAATTTAACAAATATCTTGATAACATGTGCTTTACGAATTGACTGGCTGTAATTTAGGTATGTCAGTTTAAAAACGTGAAAAAAGGACGCCGAAGATGAAATACCCTTGCAGACCCAACCTTTTCGTAATCCCTATTCATATGCGTGTCTAAGAAACACAGAGAAAATAGTTAGTGACGACTATGCTTAAGATATCTTGAAGAAGAAAAAAGTTTTCCATGCAAGAAGCCACATTTCGACCGATCGTTCCTATGGCAGCTATATGATATAGTGGTCCGATGTAAATAAGATTAAGTTTGATAAAGATATCTGAAAAAGAAAAAAGTTTTTCATGCAACAACTTAATTTTCGACCGATCGTTCCTGTAGCAGCTTAATGATATAACAGTCCATTGTAAATAAGATTTTGCTTTAATGTACGGAACGTAGTGAAACTAATAAATGTCTTGTTTGGTCAGATATCTTAATAAACATAAAAGTTTACATAGATAAAAGATGGAATCCGATTAACTTCCGATCTTTATGAACTCTTATGGTTAAATGATTGAGTTAAAACATACAGAGGTGTACTTATTTAATAAAAAGGTTATAGCTCCTAAAAATAAGATACAACAACTTTGGGGGAACGTGGGCAGATCTAAACGTTGAATATTTTGGATCTGTATGGTCAAAAACCCGAATCTAATAAATAATTTTTTGATAATGGGTTTGACCTGCGGTAGTCACTAGCTTCTACAGTTTTTGAGATGGGCCGGAATAGGAATGTAAGTTCTTAAATTTGGACTAAACCATAATACCTTAGAACATAAAAAACAAAAGAGTTTTATTTAATGTAGATTGACTCAACTCGTCATCGTGATCCTGAACATGTAAGCTTTATGAATAATATCTCTGCTCAATTTTTTTTGCTGCTTGTTGATGAGACACAGAAATCACACTTTGCGGCAATATAATCCGTAATTTGCATATCGCTGAATCTATTTTAAGTAAGGGGGGATAGCAGAACACATTTCCTTGTGGCTTCATTAGGGTCGTCATCTAACCGCAACACATGCTTCCAGAAGGCATCAAACCCCCGAAGCTGGTCCACAGAGATAACATCTCTAAAAAAAAAGGCGATGCTTATTGACCGAAGCGCTAAGAGATATGGAATCGGGCCGTATTGCCTCTTAATAGGGTGATGGAGGCCATTAAGTAATAACAATGCCATAGCATTTCAGATGGATTTCTAAATGGAACACGAGTCGCACTTGTCATTTTCAATAATCGCCCACAAACAGTAATTCAACAAAAATCGCACCCCAGGCGACAGTCGTCCGTAGGCGGGAAAATCGGCAGACAATGATGATGTTTCATTAAAAATTGCATAGCCGAAACAGTTGTAAGTAGTTACACAGGAATTCCGATCCCTTTACCAATAAAAGAGCGAGAAAAAATTGAACCTAAATCAGCTCCAGACTAGAGATGGACGCAAGTCAAGTTTCTACGGCAAGTTACAGCACTAACACGAGCACGAAATATGCATTTTCAAACACGCACACGTAAAAAAATTCACCAAGCGACGGAACGATACGGTCAAAGAAATTGTATTATTGGGTTTTATACCCTGAACCCCTTAAAAATGGGCATAAGGGTATATTGCTAGAGAGCTAGAGAAATTTTAGATGCAGGTATTCCTAGTGCCTGCGCACATCGAGTTTGTTTCCGATAATCGATCTACTGGGGGAGGTATTTTTTTTTTGCTGTTGAGTAGAGTCGACAGCAAGTAATGCGGTCACTTGCGAGTTCAAACCCTCCAAGGTAACTTTTTTTTTTTTTAATTTATATGGTGTTGGATAAGAGGGTTCAGGGTATTCCCTAGTCGGCAGCTCCCGACTAGAACCTCTTATGTGTTTATTATATTATTTAAGATATTATTTAATTGGAAAATTAGCAAAAAATTAGCAGTCAACGTGTTTACCTTTACTCGAAAGTATTTATTGCTTTACCAAGTATTTATGTTGTTTACCAAAATTGCAATATAGGAAAGTCGAGATCTGCTTTTACTGCACACAACTTTCCTGACACAATATCAATTAGTCTGCTGCTGCTCTCTAATTGCATTTTTTAGTCGCCTCACGAAGTTCCATCTCTAGTCCCGCCCCGACCTTCCACCTACGGCTTCCGTTTGTAGCTCACACTTGTGCATTTACTCGAGATTGCTTATCGATTCCCCAAGGAATAGCGTTCAGTTGCCTAAAGTGAATGTATGTAGTAGATACTTAGTCTTCAATTTGTGGCAAATTTGTTCAAATCATTTTGATTTCCGCAGAACGGGCAGAACGAAACTGAATATCTGGTCGAATTGTCGTTAGGGGATGGAAACTGGGTGTGAGCATTGAGCTCCACCCTTCCAGATAGGATTACAACAATCAGCTAGTGTACAGGCGTGTCTATCGTCACATGTGTAAAAAGTGGTAGTGATTTCTCAACTTGCATCAATTTTAAGTAAATTAATTGCAAATGGACATATCCACTCTGCAAGTGTACTAAGGCAAATGTAGTTTTTGCTCTTATACCCTTCAAGATGGCTATAAAATGATGCAAGGCAATCTGTAACGCCCTGAAGGCGACAGCTTCGACGAGCTGCTCACAATTTCTTCTTATACAAACAAATTAATTTAACAAGAAGCTCTAGTGCGAAATTACATACTAAGGAATACCCTGAACCCTCTTTTACCATAGATAGAATTCAAAGAAGACGCACGTGATTCAGAAATGCTTGCAATTTGCGTTAGCTTCCCCAACTACGTGGCCAGACAAAATAACCTTTCTTTAATAACTTTTGTATTTCTTAACCGATCTTGATGAAATTATTGTACAATAGAATATTTCTATATTCTCAATTGCATTTAAACTGAGGATTGAATTGGTGGGCTTAAAATAAAAGATACTTGATATAAATATACTATTGTAGAAGTTACATGTCAAGCTGCGTGACTAGTTTTTAACGATTTGTATCGATTATCTGAAAGCGGGACAAGCTATCGAATATCGGAAACAAATTCGTACTGCGCGGACACTAGGAGGACCTAACAAATGTTCAAAATTTCATGTCTCTAGCTCTTAAAGGTTCTGCGATCCTGGCGTTCATATATACCGACGGACGAATCCTGACAAGAAATATACATACACTTTATGGGGTCGGGGATGGTTTCTTCAGCCTGTTACATAGATTCAAATAAATGCATTATACGTTGAGACATGGTTTCGGCAAATTTGAACCGCATGTATGAAACTTTTATGTTTACATTCCGATAGACCTCACTCATTTTTATTTTTGCTTAAATTCATTTTGAGGGGTGTTTTACACTTTTCGAAAAGTTTGGTGGGTGACGTTTTACGCTCAAATTCTTTTCCAAAAATCATTTAAAAAGTGTTTTACACTTTTCGCACAAATCGAGAATCCCTCGGTAGAAATGCGATTCACAGATTTTTGTGCTAAGTCTTAAGTTCACATTTAAGTATGTATATGTATGTATTTTTGTTTTTATACCCTTATACCCATTAAAAATGGTTATAAGGGTATATTGTATTTGTAGAAAATCGAAATGTATGTAACAGTCAGAGGGAAGCATCTCCGACCCCATAAAGTATATATATTCTTGATCAGCACCAATAGCCGAGTCGATCTAGCTATGTCCGTCCGTTTCGTTCGTTTTATTTAAATTTGTAGCATAGAAAGAAATAATCTTGGCATGGATTGGTATTAGAAATAAACACTCATGCATACAAAATACTTGTATATCCTTATACTTAAAACTGACTGACAGACTGATCGTAAGAGCTAGGAAGCTGAAATTTTCCCTTGAGTTAGCTTATGTGATGGAGGCTATCGCTGGGCGGGGTTTTGAAAATCAAAAACTTTGGTATGCCATCAGACTGGCCTTAAACTAATTTCTTCAAAAATCACCTTAATTTCGTTTCACGGGTGTTCTAGATGTCACCCTCGTGTTGATGTTGCTTTAAAATAATTTATTTAAGAATAATTCAAAGCTCCTTAGTGAAAATTTGAGGTTAAAGGTTTTACGTGCTTTATACTTTTCGCAACATTTGCCCCTCTCTGACAATAAATGCGGGTCAAAGGTAGTCAGTTAGGGCGAAATTTAAAGTTTCTTCCGATCAGCCTCAAACTCATTATTCCGATTTCAATGAATTTTTGAATTTTACCATTATTAATTTGTCCCGTTCAACGCCGGGTACTTTCTTTTAGCAGAGTTTAAAAAGTATAGAGCTATATGATAAATTGCTTCAACAAACAAGAGTTTAATATAGAAAAACAATAATTCTTTGTCCCAACTTTTTCAATAAAAAATAATATTAACACCAAAATATAATAGTTGAGAGAGTTGAAATAAATATCGGATTCATGCAATATTTCAACAAGATTTTTTAAACTGATCTGAGCCCATCATGGCGGAGCAAAGAGAATATTTTAATAATTATTCTGTCCGAATTGAAGAAGAATAGTAATAAATCGCCTTTCAATACGCTATCCCAATCTTGAATTTCATCATATTTGTGTGCTTATGATTCTTATCTCTATCCTCTATAAACAGTGTATTTATTGTTTTTGTAACAGAAATGAATGGGGAACTTACCGTGAACTTCATTTCGCTTGCGCTTGCAATTTGAATCCGAGGTATTGTTGTTATTGTTATTTGTGCTGCTGTTGTTGTTGTGTATATGATGGCCGTGCTGTAGACCCAGAATGCCGTTAATGCTATATCCCGAACCTGACGATCGCTGCTCTGTGCCCTGTTGACTCGCTGTTCCGCTACTGTTACCATTACTACTGTTCCCATTGTGCGGCGCAGCGCTGTTGCCGACGGCAGCGCCCGTTTCTTGCGCTGCAACTGCGCCCAGTCCCGTTGTACGCGCAACGACCGACGCTGAAGTATTTGTGTTGTTGTTGTTGTTGCTGCTGGAGTTGTTGCTGCCATTGCCGTTGCCGACGCTGGGCGCTTGCTGCTCGCTGACAGCGCCCGTGCTACTGTCAAGGCTCTCAGTGCCAATGTGACCGTTGCTCAGGCTCGGTTGCATTTGCTGCTGCTGCTGCTGCTGGTGATGGTGTACGTGCTTTGCCTTTTCCGCTGCTTTATTACGAACGATTCTGAAACGAGCGAAAAGAGCATCTCCAGTAATCATAATACATATATGTATGTATATGTATATCTGCAGTAGTCGGAAGTGTCGGACTGATACCATTTCCACTTCTTGATTCTTAGTCTCTATATATACTGTCAAAAGACAGATGGAGAGTAGTATAAGATATAAGACGCATGTTGATTCTTGGTAATAAATAATTATCGTTAGTCTGATTCGTGATGTTGAATTAAAGAAAGAATAAAGTCAAATATAAATTATAATAACAAATAATTACATTTTGATTTTTTTTAAATGTTCTGGCCATAAACTTAGATTACATAAGGAATTTTTTTATTTTGTTGAATTTTGGAGAAAAATAGTTTATGGAGTAGGTATCCACATACTATACCACAATGTGGCAATACTTGCACATCAAGTTTTTTGTATCCAGCTCTTACAATTTTGAGATATAGACCAAAACGGATATACTCATTCATAACGAGAATATATATTTATAATTTTAAATGCAGCTAGTTGAAAATTCTTACGAGCTTTGCAGCAACACATTTTGAAAACAATCAAATAATCTACATTTCTATAATATAAATAAATACGGATCACCCATATGTATTTCCCGTTCTGTTTAAACAGATCTAGCTGAGAGAAGCCCTCGGGACTCTGTGCCCCGAAAATTTAGCAAGAGTCTGGCAACAAGCACAAGATATCCTAGCAAGGATTCCGGGCAAAGAAAAATTTGTCTTTAAATAATTGTCAGTTAAATATTATTATATATATTTGTAAAGGTTGCTCGGCATAAGTCGAGGATATATCCCAGGATAGTTTATATCGGACTTTTTTTATGGTAATGATCTGGCGACAAATGCAAGATATCCTAGAAACGAATTCATTTCAACTCCAGCATTTGTCTCTTGTCTTGTCTTAGCTCAGGTAAGCCGCCGGGAAGTCAATGTGCGTAGAAATCCACTCTCTTTCCACCTTAAGACTCCATTTCACAACACCAGGCATCTGGGGACCGCTTGATACGCATTGTTCTATTAAATTAACCGAAGTTTTATGTCCATGGTCGCGGTAGTTATGTTGGGTGAGAAAATAACTATTGTAATTTGGCGACCCCAAAACTTAACTAAGATGTCAATTGACGGGTTTGTTAATTGGTTTCAAGCTTGCACTAAAACCCATATTATGTCAACTGACTAACACAAAGTCGAGAGCACATTTTAATATTGTGCAGAGCATGTGTACTTAAGTGCTTGGCTTGCGGGATATTTTGGCCCCGGAGGAGGGTTGTGGATTTGGCGGGCGAACTCAAGCAGAATCGAATCAAATTATGTTTTTCAAAAAGAACAATCTCACCGGGTTGAGTTATAATTTAAAGAGGGTGCTGCCTGGCTGGCTAGTTGGACAGTGCACACAATTGGGACATATGTTTGGGATGCGCCTTCATACATCGATTTGTTTATTTGGCTTTGTTTGCCAATAAGGCAGGCAGATGAGGGCGAAGGGCAGTCGATTGGCCGACGTTGAGTGCTGCGAAAGTCACTTTTAAAGCGCTTTTCCCCTGGGACTGGGACAGGGCTGGAAAATGAATGGGGACAGGGAAAAACTGGACCGACACTTGCTGTGAGGGTCGGTAAATCTGTACGCATATGTACTCATATACTCTCGCATATATATTTGTTACATGATTGAATCGTGCGCCGTAATCATTGCTCAAGTGACATTGAATCACACATTGTCGCATTAAGGCAAGTTGATGCTGATTATCCCTTGGAATACCCTCTTGAATTACCCATCGCATACCGGTCACATCAAATGCCCTAATACCCGACGCTTTGCATACTCCGCGACGTGGCGAATTGATTTCGAATGGTTGCACGTGCCGCGTGTGGTTTCAGCAATGGATTTTGGTTCAGGTTTTGGTTGGGCTTCGCTTGGGGCAAGTTGACTGATGCCAGTTCAGCTACTTTCTAGCCAAGTTTGATTATTTTCAGTTGTTATTTTAAAATGATTTGGCTTTTGTTTAGGCTTGAGTTGGGTTTGGGACGAAAATCCTGCAAGTTTCTGCAAAAAACGACGGTAAGTAATTTTGAAGTTTGCCGGATCCCGAATCCCGAAATTCCAATAACCGTCTACTGCTGCCGAACAGCAATTGATATTATTATAAAAAAATATTTGAATAATAGAAAACATTCCATGTTATTAAAAAAAAACAATGGGAGTTTAAAAAATCGTATTATGTTATTTTAATGGTATTCAGTATTTAAATTCTTAAATAAAAATGTGAAGCCTTTTTTTAAAATTTCTATATTTATTTATTAACACTGAAAACTTGCAATATGGAAGACCTATACAAAAGAAACGGGATAGTTAATATCTGCTTCTTGACAGGCGGAATGGGATCAAATTTTTTTAGTCGCGCCCATCTCTGCCCTGGTAACCCCGTCTATTGAAAACTTGTGCTCAGATAGCAAAATCTGTTATTTTATTTAGGGTACTTTTAACTATTTTGTAACACTGTCCGCGTGGTGTTTGAGTGTTGAACAAATGCGGAACATTTTTGCGTGTTGACCTTAGTCGTCTCCCCTTGCGGCAGCCGCCGCCCGAATTACATTTATTATTGTACCCAGTTAATTTATGGTTCTCAATCCTTGAGCAGCTGCCTGCTGGCATCCTTGGCCAAATAAAATGAATTATGGTCAAGGAGGAAGTGCGTACATTACAACGACGACAAAAATGATGATGAAGATGATGGCAGGAATGTTGCGCCGGAACACGGATAGGAAGCTGGCTTTTGTGGTGGTCGTGTGTCAAGCATTGTGCCGCAATTATGAACGCTGAAAACTACTTAGATATTTTTATTAGCCCTCGTGTTTGGCACTGTAAGCCGCACCCATCAACACGGACTTTGCCGGAAACGGATTCGGAAGTAAGCTGCATGACAGCAACCAAGCACTGCAAGACTAATACTCACATTATGGTAACGACCACATCCAACTGTTGACTCCGGTCCAAGTTACACAAGTCCACAAATGTTCTTGTATGCGGGATTACGAAGTGTCCAATCAGCCTCTGATAGAGTCATGTCGACTGAACATATCGACTCACAGATGCGTACTTACATGAACATATCTCTACACATAAATCTGATAGACGGACTGACTGACTGACTGACTAATTGACCGCCTGACTGACTGAACTACTGATTGGCGAATAGCGTAGCTGAAATTTTCACTTCGATAACCTAATGTGATGGTGTGCACGCTAAGACGGTGTCTTGAGAATTCCACTCGCATGTGTGGGAAAATCGTAAAAACCCTTTTCAGAATTCCACTCACATGCGTGAAAAAATCAGAGAAAGGTTTCTTTTATCAAGTTCGTTCAAAAGATGTTTCACACATTTCCCTGTTATGTGTAATTAGGGCTCAAATAATACATGGACGACCTGTTGCGTTTAAATTTATTTACTAAGTAAATAACTTAAAAAGTGCTTCACACTTTTCGCAGCATCCAAAATCTACTGTTGATAATCGCGATAATTTGCAAAGCATGCAAATCGAATGAATATGTGTTTTAGTGATTTCGAAACTTTCACCCGCAACAGTGGAAAATGGGTGAAAACACAATCTACAAGATTCATCCTCTTGTTAGGCAAAGCCTGTCAAGGATTGTACGGGTAAATGCTTAATTCTTATCCGATCGGTCTTAAACGTATTTTCAAAGCACTTCATAAAAAGTAAATGAATGCGTGTTTCAGCGATTTCGGAAATACCACTAACACTAACTAACACAGCAAACGTTGAATCAAACCTTAGGTTCTTTATACAATGGACACGCCAATTCTGACTGCCTGAGTGTCGGACAATCAAGAAAGAGAAGTCGCTGGTGCGAATAAATAAAAGTATATAATTTCTAATTATACGCAGAGAAAGAAGCTAAAGTAATAAACAATAATAGATAAATGGCTAAAACATTCATAATTAAAACCAGCCTGAAATCAATTGGATAAATCGGCACAGAGATCTTCTGGAATGCGCTTGTGGGGTCTTGGGCTAGGGAAACAACTGGAAAAGCGTTATCTTTGAATAGAAAAACCTAGCCGCCTTTTATTTAAAGAAGATAATTCCTTCTGCCTGATTAATATTATTTTACCCAATTTGAATAGCCAAACACTTGGTTGATAGGCCTGAATACGGAATATTAATGTACTAACCGATTTATTGAGGATACGCTGGGGACATTATCTTGCGAACATATTCCCTCTGCCAGCAACCGATCACGAATCTCCCAGGCGAACATAGTAGGGTTCTCCCTCTTGTAGTTCGCAATGGCATCAACTACGGGTGGGGTTGCAACCTTGGGCTTCGACCCGCCTATGACGCCTGCTTTAAAGCTACCAGTCTCGTAGTATCTGAAAATGAAATAAAATAAAAGTATTATTGTATCTAAGAATTTTAATTGCCTAGCAAATGTGGAATAATTCTTAAAGTTGACAAAAGCCATTAAATTATAAAACAATTTGGACACAATAAAAACAAGTATGAGGTATTAAACGGGAGCTCCCGACTAGGGAATACCCTGAATCCTCTTATTCCAACACCAAATGCAGTTGTTGCATTAGAAGCTATATGTCAAGTTTGGCGACTCTAGCTTTTATTATTTACCAAAATTGCCCAAAAATCAGGATATCGATATCGATTTTTATCGATTGCTTGGAAACGGAGTAAGTTATCGATTATCGAAAACAAACTCGATCTGCGCGGGCACTAGGAGAACCTACATCTAAATTTCAAGTCTCTAGCTCTTATAGGTTCTGAGATCCTTGCGTTCATACATACGGACGGACTGATCAAGAATATATATACTTTATGGGGTTGGAGATGCTTCCTTCTGCCTGTTACATACATTTGCATTTTGCACAAATATAATATACCCCTTTTACGCATTTTTAATGGGTTCAGGGTATAATGAAAAGGCGTTTCGCCGATATATAGATATTACATCAAACATTACGATCGCATTACCATATTATATATATTTATATATTATGTTATATTATGTTAAGGATAAAGGCTGAGACTAAATGATACCCAGCAGCAATCGGATTACCTTCAACAACTATTTAAATCTGAGCCTTGTTATGGGATGCTGTATTAGCTCATCTCATTGTTATTATTCCACCTGTCCACCTGTCTAGCACCTGACTATTTGTCAACATGTTGAAATCAATCAATTTACAAAAAAACACACATATAAGCCAATTGCGTCCATTTCTATTCGCCGCAGTTTGGGAAATGATTCCGGGACAAACCTCGGTGTCCGACCTTTTTTTATGTTCGGAGGGCATAAATCTGTCATCCTGATATGTTTTCTCTACATGCCAAATGTGGTACCTGTAGCTCTTATTGCATTGAGATGGGTGGAAAAGAAATGATTTCGATATCGATTTTTTGCAAACGATAAGCCTATCGATGACTTGATGGTGCGAGGGAAATATAATAATTTACGCACAAAAGTCTAAGAGTCTAGCTCTTCAAATTTTCAAGATTAACGCATTTATATATGGGGACAGAGAATCGAATCGTCTTTAAATCTCTATGTATTAAACTGTTTGCCCTAACTGACTGACTGACCGTAAGAGATGAGATGCTGAAATTTGCACTGTAGTTTCCTGTCAAAGATTTGGTGGGTGACATTTCGCGCTTAAGCCCCGATGCCCGATAGTAAAGTAGAGGGTATAAAAAGCAGGAGTAGAGCCGTAAAAAAAAAAAACAATAGGTAATCAGTTAGTCAGTCATTCGGCAATAATCAGAGTTTTATAGAAATACTTCTCAATCCTATAAAAAATGCGAGTCAAGCTCCTCAGGCAGAGTATATTTATAAATATTTAAGACCAATTAATGGAAGGCGCATCCGATTCCAAGCTGAAGGTGCATTGAGTTCATAAAAATGCAGTAAAACAAAAACCAATGTTTTAAAACCAATTTTAGAAAATATTTTGCGAATCATTTTTATACCCTTGCAGAGGGTATTATAATTTTGTCGTGAAATGTGTAACGCATAGAAGGAGACATCTTCGACCCCATAAAGTATATATATTCTTAATCAGCATCAACATCCGAGTCGATATAGCCATGTCCGTCTGTCCGTCTGTCCGTCTGTCTGTTTCTATGCGAACTTGTCCCTCAGTTTTAAAGCTATCTTAATGAAACTTTGCAGAACTCCCTCTTTCTGTTGCACGCAGCACATATGTGAAAACCAGCTGGATCGGACCACTATATCATATAGCTGTCATAGGAACGATCGGTCGAAAATTAAGTTTTTGTATGAAAAAACATTTTGTTTTTCAAGATATTTTGACCAAACTCGGCATTTATTAGTTTTACTTTACTCCTCATATATGCGCAAAATCCTATTAAGATCGGACTACTATATCATATAGCTGCCATAGGATCGATCGGCCGAAAATTAAGTTTTTGTATGAAAAAACATTTTGTTTTTCAAGATATCTTGACCAAACTCGGCATTTATTAGTTTTACTTTACTCCTCATATATATGCAAAATCCTATTAAGATCGGACTACTATATCATATAGCTGCCATAGGATCGATCGGCCGAAAATTAAGTTTTTGTATGAAAAAACATTTTGTTTTTCAAGATATCTTGACCAAACTCGGCATTTATTAGTTTTACTTTACTCCTCATATATATGCAAAATCCTATTAAGATCAGACCACTATATCATATAGCTGTCATAGGAACGATCGGTCGAAAATTAAGTTGTATGAAAAAACATTTTGTTTATCAAGATATCTTGACCAAACTCGGCATTTACTATTTTCCCGGTACTTCTTAGATAGGGGCAAAGCACTATGAGCATTATGGAAAGGTTGGGTCTGCAAGGGTATCAGATCTTTGGCGTGTCGAAGATAGCCCTTTCTCGTTTTTTTTTTTGTTATGAGAGAAATTAAGAAATTAAGAACATTTTTCCTAATTACAATTTTAGTTAAAAACAAGTAAGAGGTTCTAGTCGGGAGCTCCTGACCCTGAACCCGCTTCTTCCAATATCAAATATTCTATTTTAGAAGAACAAACTCGATCTGCGCAGGCACTAGGAGCACCTACATCTAAAATTTCAAGTCTCTAGCTCTTATAGGCTCTGAGATCCTTGCGTTCCAACATACGGACAGACGGACAGACGGGCGATACCAATAAATGAATTTTGCACAAATACAATATACCCTTACACCCATTTTTAATGGGTTCAGGGTATAAAAACAATCAAGTTTTAAAAACCAATTTTAGAAAATATTTTCTGAATAATTGTTTATTTTTTTTTTATTATGAGAGAAATTAAGAACATTTTTCTTAATTGAAATTTTGGTTAACATTTTTTGTTAGAGTGTAATAACTATAACGTCAAGTATCTTCGCTCATCAGCGCGGACACCTTGATTAATGCAAACATTTTCATACGAAACCACAAATTTAACCATTTCAATTACAAACAATTTAAATGTCAGCCATCGTTTAGGTCCCGGACAATGTTTTCCTCCGATGCAAGGTTGAGGAGAAAGCCAAAGCCAGCGACATATGATTACACCCAGTCCTAGCCAGGACATGCGCTCGCAGAGATTTATTATCCTATTTGCATTGGATTTTGTGGCCAACTCAAACCCTGTACACACGGGATGTAACGACTGCATGCATTTATCTGGGCCCTCTCTCGCTCCCCCATTTCCCTCTGCTTTCCCTCTCCTGTACACCTACAACAACATCTGACAATGACGGAATGCGCATATGTACATATTTAGCCCGCCGTAATATGCAAAGTCAGCCAAATTACAATTCGTGGAGGAATTTTGAGTTGTCTAATAAAGAAAGTAAAATATACACTTTAAGAAATAGCACAAAAATGCATAATGTGGTTTATTCATTTGTAAGAAACAAACCCTTTTGACGGCTATTAACAAAAAAGAAAGCAAAAATAATAATCTAAACATAACAAAAGAAAGTACATAACACAAGAAGACACGGCCGACCCTTAATCAGGATGAGTTCGAAAGAATTTCGAGCTGCGTCAGCAAGAGATCCTTCATGAGGCTCCAAATGAATGGATCTCAGATAGATCCCTGGGAACAGTCCCGAAATACATCCATTTTTTAAAAAATTAATTAAAATTGGTAGTCGGACGAAATTTAGAGCTTTGCCCATAAAATATTGAGACTGAAGGAAATTTTTCGCCCATGACTGAAAAGTGTATAATAAACTCTCAAATGAATTTTTATTTGAATGAATTGAATGGGTAACTGAAATTCCAATAAAACTGCTTTTTGTGATTTTTCCAAACTTGCGGGTGGAATTTCTTTAAGCCCCGCCTTAATGTACGACAGTTACCAGATTTTACAGGCAGGATAAACAGTTATATATAACAAGATGTAGCAGGGATACGTTGCGATAAAAAAAGCTTTTTATTGTATAAATGAAAATGGAAAATCTTCTTGTGAGAGCTTTTTGCCGAAAACTTGTAATTTGAGAAATTCATATTTGCATATCATATAAAACAAAGTTGCCTCAGCATATCGAAGAGACAAGAACAGGAAAACATTGAATTTGGTTTAAAAAAAAAGAATTCAATTTTTGTACCCTGATGTATGTGAAATGTAAATGAATGTAGCATGAATGAATGTTCTGGAAAAGTAAATACGGATCAAATATCTTTCATTCTATAGGTATCGCCACAGGTAAAGAGCCCAATTGAAACTGCCCACAAATTAAAGCCACAATGCTATTGTCTTTTTGAGAATATGCAAATGGTCTATAGCCCAAGAAGATCTACAGCTGAAAATTGCATACACATCGGTTTTATTAAAGATGACGTGTTTTTGGCAAAACACGTGGTAGCCCGAATGCCAAGAATTTGATATTTAAATTAATTTTCTTTTCCTTGTGCACTTTATTCTTCGTATGTTTGGGTCGCTTAAGTCCGACACCGGCGCAGGGAACTCTTTTTTTGAAATTGATGTTATACGCGATTGTTACAGCAGATCACAATATCTGCTAATTATTAATGAATAATTTACTAACCTTGATAATATCTTTGAAACGCAGCCATGGCTCACTCGTAACTGGCGTGATATATCGCACGGACGGACGCCGTTGTGGGCCAGCTCCACGATTCGCTGCCGGACGACGTCGGGTAGGGGCCGACCGTTAACGAACACGCCTCCTAATTGATTGACGCCCCCGTGACCTATGTTGAAATAAGTGTAAAAAACTCTTCAATAGTGGTAAAAGTGGTAAGTCCTAGGTTTATATATTTTTTATCTAGTATTAAGGGCAAATAAGATGTTTATTCAGCAATTGGATGTGCAAATTATTGCAAGAAGAAAAAAAACGAGTGGAACCGACAAGAAGTAGAATAAGGTTTTATGTCCACCTAAAATTGAACACATCATAGAAATGAGAAGGGCTATTAATCTCTCTCAGCAGCCAGATGTCCGAACGGAAACAACAGATTCGAACGTTGCCGTCTGAATCTCGAACACGGCCGGAAAAGACTAAAGGACTGTGAGCAGAAGTGGGCGTAAGACAAAAAATTCTTAGACCTAAGCCGAACCCTTAAAAGCTTTAAAAAAACCAAAGGAGTAAAGGTTATACAAATAACATTCTGACTTGATTTATAAGGGATATATTATCAGTTGTTAAATAAATGAAATGCTTATACGTCTTCAGGTTCTTAAGCATTTCGGAGGGATAACAATTGAAGTATCCAATTTTTTCTACAGAAATTTGAAACTGAGCTTTAAACCGTTCGGACAAAAAATTACAATTGTTCATATGATATTGGATCCTTTCTTAACCTGGCGTGGATTTCTATAGTCCTTAAAATGTACACATAGCTTGAAGTGGATTTTAATAATGGGCTATTTATGGAAAATAATATCCCAACACAGGTTCAAGGTTATAATACGCCGCAACGGGTGAAACATGTGTCAAATTTTTGAAATCTAAAGTGATATAGTCGATCGATCCGATGAGTTTCGAAATTTGCCATTTACAAAGCTCTAAGTGTAAATTCACTGAGAACATATTCCACATATTAGAAATAATTAGAAGTAAATTTAAACTGGAAGGTTGCATAGATAAGTGTTACAGTATACTCCGATATGGGTGATTAATATATGTTAGAAAATATTGTAGCTAACTTGTGGGGTTTCCCTGTGGTAATTTATTTATATTTTACAGAACTGCTAATTATAAGCCGCAGACAAAGCATCGACTGCCAGGCGAGGAGAACAAGAAAGAGGCCGCCTTTAATTGGTCAGAAGAGATCTTCCTAATGACAAACATACAACCAAAGACAACCAAACCCAACCAAGGCGGGAGTCGTTTCCACATCATTTACTTTCTGCACTTAAATTTCGCACTTGATATGCAATTGCTAATTAAGTACGAACTGTCTGCAAACAGTCTCACAACATTTAAAACATGCTCTGAAATTTGCTCACCATTCGGGAGGCGTATTTTTGGAAGTCGCGAAAAAATCAGATCAACTTTGAGCCATGAGATGTTTAACTAAACCGAAATCTTGCTAAATATTCCAGTTTACTTCTAAAGATACAGAAAACACACGGACTTCGGTTGTGCTACTTTCATGGAAAATGAACTCTGGAATCGTATCGGTGCTCATGGTCCGATTTTTGTTTTGAAAAAGTGGCAAAAACTTTTGTATATCCGATCGGATTTCGAAGTTCAATAGTCGAATTTTCGAATGTAAGCTCATTCATAAAGATCTTTTGGAAAGTACATTTAAGTCGTGTTTCACACTTTTTCCAAAATTTAGAGTTCTTGGGGGGAGCCTTAAGTTTCGTCCAATTTGTTTTAAACTTATTTGCACAGATCTGTGTTCAAATTCCTTTGAGGGGTGTGTCATAAGATTTGGTGGGCGAAAATTCGGGTTTGAATTCAATTCCACTGTTTGTAAAATCCGCGTTGGTGGTTCAAAGATTTTATAAGCAATATAGTTAGTTAGTCATATTTGCTTCAAACTAATGTCTATGCTAAAAAACACGTGTTTCAGGGACATTGCGAAATCATTTTGGCTTCCAAAAATTTTTCAGAGATCTTTGAAAATAAAATAATTATTTGAGAAGTGTTTTACACTTTTTTTTTGGATAAGAAAGAATGTCTGAGCGTAATTGACTAGCCTCATTCCACCCGCAACTGTGGAAATTTGGCGGAATGTGACACTTTTTGCGGCGTCAATCTCATTTGTACAGATATTTGTAAACATATATGTATATGATATATTTTTCGCAAAATTGGCCGCTTTAGAATCGAAAATGCGGGTCAATTGTTTAATGCAAATATGTGTTTTTTTCGTCTTCAATATTCAAAACTTAGGTTATCTATTTAATGGTCATTAAGCCTGTTTTTGAATAGACGTTGAGTTCAGGATAAAAGAGTTAATTTTGTTCATAGGCGGAAACTGGGCGAACAAGTAAAGCCTCCATAATTTAAGCCGAGAATACCCGATCTTTTAAGTCGAATTAGCCTTAGAGTCGGAGGTGCGTCCTTATTGCCATTTGCATGCAAAATTTAGTTCCTTTACCCATTTGAATAGGTTCAGGAAATAAGATGAAACTGTGTAATATTAGGTCACACTCTGACAATAGATTAAAGCTTATTAGAAGAGTGTTTGTAACATATTTTACCAGTCTAGCTCTTAAACTGAAGATTATATAGAGCTATAGCATGATCTATACCTTGATAATCATAAGACTTTATCGGGCGAGAATATATATGAGGATATATCCAACAACTGACAACTTTGGCTTCAAAATCGCCGAAATAATTCGTATTTAAGGTAAGGGAACTTATTTAGCCTTTTTTCTAATCTTTTGATTGACTGCGACCCCCATATTATCTTATATATCTTATAAATCCATATCTTATAACTTTGGCATTTTAGCTTGAAAGTATTTAAGTTAACTGTTTTGAATGTTTGACAAAGATCAACTTAGCTCATCTGTCACTTATCTTCCTTGTTAGAGCTTTTAAGTGCAACCTCAATTTGAATATGGATTTACGATGTCCGTAAATTCATTCGGCGCGTGATCCTGATCACAATATCACTCTACAATATTACGAAGAACATAAGAGGACACGAATTTGATGCTGTTTTAGGGACGCAGCGGGATACGAGCTGGAGTCCTGCATTGGGACAAAGGATCTTTGAGTGGCTGACAGTATGCCAAATGGCAAATGCCATTGTCATTTAATGAACTATTGATTTTCAATAGATGTGCTCATAACTAATAGATATTGTTTTCATACAAAACATACAGCTAGCTAGCTCGACCCTCGTCTCAACAATGTGTTTGTATTCTTTTTGTGCATTATTTTTGCTTTCTGTCAACTTCGATTATTATATTTAACGCCAGCTTGCGACCAGGTAAGAGTATTATGCTACACCTTTTCATTGTTTTAAATTAACAACTATATAGTTAAGCGATTTTTCAATTGAATGGGAACAGATTTAAGCCCAGAGGCAGACTATCTATCTATATCTAAGCCCATTTGTCCTGATCGACTTGGGACGGGGAAATTCGTGAAAAATGAAAACGATTATTCGATCAGATCAAATATTTACTCAAAATATATATATATAAAACTGATCATACATGTAAAAAATGTTTTAAGAGTTAGCGCTTTTTACAAAAGTAATTAAATGGAAGTTATAAGGGCTTTTCTCATATTTTCAATGCGTCAGAGTAGCACTCAAAATTCGTGAGATTGATTAATATATATTAATAATACATAATATCAGAAAGGTTCTCAACCTATTGCGACTATACAATTTAGTGGTTGAAGACTTTTGCAAGACAACATCGAAAAAATGTAGGGCTGAGAGCAAGGAAAGCAACGGATTCGGCTCTTAATACATATCAGGAATATGTACACTTACGGAGTTTGGAACGAACTAAATATTCATATAACAAACTCGTCTCTAACGAAGGTTCCTTAGAGCCAAGCACAAATACTTTACATCTTGGTTTGATTTTGAGTAAAGGCATCTTTTGGTTCCTTAAGACCAATTTACGACATTAGATATCTTCAACAAGAAGTCAATTAGGAGCTTAGGCTTTTTAACATAAAACGCCTATATCAAATAAGGACTATCTATCGAAAACAGAGCAGAAAATGGACATATTGTAATCCTCTCCGCGTGTTGGGTAGTATTTTTTTTTTTTTTTTTTTTTTATTTGGGAGGAGGTGGAAATCACACGAGAAAGTAAAATCTTTGAAATGTATGTAAGATTATATACATGTGTAATATTCCATCATGTTTTGATTGTAACGATACGCCGTCGAGAGATCCATGTCAGGCCCTGCTGCTGTGATATTAATGGGTACAATATTAATGGGTATATTCACAAAATACACAATATCCGACACAAATTGCAATTGAGATGATTTCGAACAACTTTCTAGTTGTGATATGCACGCACACACGCAGCCCGACAATCGATAACCGATAACAATGACGATAACGATATCGACAGCGATAACAATAACGATAACAGCCGATTAACGATAGCACCATTCAACTGATAACGATTTTGACAGTCCGTGTCTCCGGATGGTGGCGAGGCGTTTGCTGCTTTGTCGGTGTCTATTTTCGTGGACGGCATTCATGTGAAAGCGAACCAAGCCAATTTCCTCTTTTTTCCTTTTTTCTCTGCTTTTCTTTTTTTTATTTGTTGTTCAAATATTTTGCGTCGTCGTCGTCGTCGTCGTCGTCGTCGCCGTAGCCGTTGTTTTACTTATTATAAATTTTGTTTTTTGTTTCGTTTTCAGTGCCGTGAAATATTTCTAGCCATTTTTTCCGGACTGTTTGCGTTCAGTCGCCGAGATCCTGCGCACGTTTTGTTTCTTATCTGTGTGTTGTCTGTGCGTGTGCATGTGTGAGTGTATGTGTTTGTGTGTGCGTGCTTCTGCGATTGCAGCTCGTGTGCGCTGCGTGCTGAGCGTGTCCTTGGTCCTTGTTTTGCCACCACACCGCACCGCCCAACCACATCGGCTTGCGCATACTTCACGACTGCCCGACCACGACTCCGACTCCGACCACGACTCACTGCAGCGAGCCAATGAAGACGAACCAAACAGCCGAGAGACAGCCACAGCGTAGCGTCATTTGCTTCCTATTTAGAACTGGGCTCTGCGTATGCAGACAACCTCTGACTGGCGGCCGCGGCTGCGGCTGCTGCTGCTGCTGCTGCTGCTGTGTGAGGGACGGAGCGGGGTCTGGTGGGCGGGTGGTGTTGCGGGCAGTTGGTGTCGCCTTCTTTTGGATTGGCGCTAAATGTTTAAGCCCATGGCTTATGGTCAGATACTGGCTGTGTATCTGAGTATGTACATATATATATATATATATATATATATGTGTGTGTGTGTGTATGTATTATTGCTTGGGATTTTAACTCAGCGAAGGCTTGTGTTTTTTTTTTCACTTATCCCAAATTAAGCGCTTTAGGAAGACCTAATCACATCCTCCAGTTACTTAAAATAATACTTGAGTTTAGTGTGTTTTAAATTCAATTTTTCAATACAAAAGTTATTTGCAATCGATATCACATTTACATTTAATACATCTTACAAATATATTTTTAAGTGTCTAATACGGCCCTGCTTTGGTCTATTATTAAAGCTTCATACGAAAATAAGTAAAAAGCAAGAGGTTTCTGCCCACCCACGCGCAACCACAACAGCCGAGGCAGTGAGAGTGAGAGAGAAGAACGCAGTGTAGGCACGTAGCGGGATTTCCGCCAATCAGCACCAAGACCAAGATGTGCTTAGCACCAATCACAGTTGTCGTTTCTCGTTTCTACCACTTAAGCATTTACAGCTCTCTATCGCTGTGTTTCTTTATCTCTCCATCTCGCTTACACACACACCGATTAGGCTATCTTGTTGTGATTGCTTGTGTTCTTGTTTGTTTGTTTTTTTTTTTTTGTCTGCGTGTGCATCCCGTGCTCTGCTCGGTGTACTAAAAATTATTGCCGTTTTTTTCTTCTGTGTGTGTTATGAGTATGTATGATGATGACATCAAGTTGTCACATATAAACAAAGTAATTATCTGAGCGACAAAAATATTAACAAACGGGTTTTCCTGTTCATACACAGACACGTAAAAGTGTGTGTATACTGCAAATATTGTTGTATGTGTATTTGCAGCTGAGACTTCTAAATAGCGCATGCCCAAAATATTTATAAATCTTATATCCATTAACCGCAAAGTCGGTGAGCTCTTCTCCCCGTCGATTAAATATTTATATGTAATTCGATTATTGCTAACATGCGGAGTTTCTGATTCCGCGCTTTCGTTAAAATAACTCCAAGCCGGAGGGGACGATGTTGTTGATCCACTTATACACAAGAAAATACATAGTGGTACACAGAGAGAAAAATCAAGACCCAAGACATATTTTTCAAATTCCTCTTTGATTTATTTACTTATTTATTTTTTTATTTTAACCAATGCTGGCAGTTTTCTGGTTATCTCAAAATATGTAATTCATACTTCAAGTATGCCTTTTTAGGAACGAAAAAATTCGAATTAAGCTTTGTTTTTCATTGATTTTAAAAACGGAATATTATTGAATCATGTTTTAATGATTCTTTATAAAAAAAAAACATTTGTCCCAAGTCCAAGTTCGAGCTTTAAATAAGTTTACATTAAATTTGATTCAAGAGCTCACGAACTTTAATCATACAAAATTTACGACCAAAAATACTTCTATTAATAAGTTTTTGGTCTTTATATAAGATCAATTTAGTGTTTTTTAGCACGTCATTTTTCTCTCTGCGTACATCTTGGCAAATGGGTAAAAAAGTCGTTGAACGAATGTGTGTGTAACAGACAGAAGAAAGCATATCCGAGACAATCTCCCATATTTGGACTTTGGACTTGAGCTTATAATTTTTGTATATTTTACTTACATATGCACTGAACCCATTAGAAATGGTTAAAAGGGGTACAAGGGTATTTTGCAAATTTTTGTAACAGGCAGGGGAAAGCACCTCCGGCCCAATAAAGTATATAGATTCTTGGTCAGCACATCGATCCCAGAACCAATGAGGGCTTAAAACTTTCAATTTTGAACGTTGTTGTTTTCGATAATCGATTACTGGCCCGATAACTCGATAAAAATCAACGTCGCAATCCTGTTATATATGTATGTATGTATATCTCGCACAGTTTTCGAGCTAGAGTCATCAACTTATATGAAAGACCACAGATGACCTCCTCCTTCTGACTCCTGGCACCTGCGGGTGCAAAAATGAATCATACGAAGCATCTTTCGCGAAGTACTCAGTGCCCCATCTCATCCACTCGTTAGCGACCCGGCCAGATGTTGTTTCTGTTTAACGCCGAGCTGCGCTCATTTCTGAATTCCCAGTAGTGTGTTCAACTGTTATTGAATATACCACAGGAGTTTCGGATGTATCCCCGATGCCGGCGACTTCATTACGACGACGACGACGACAAATAGGTGGAGAGCCGGCATATCTGCGCATTTGTGGCTCGGTTCATTTTAATTTGACAAATCACTTTTAACTTATGTTTTGACTTTTTGAGGAACATCCTTAGGGGATTGTTTTAATTATTATTGTGCTGCTTTGACTTTTGCTTTTACTGTGTCTCTCTCCTTCATCTTGCAATTAAAGTCCAATTGCGTTCCGCTGTGGTGTCTACTATGTAAATCGCAATCACATCATTTGCATAACTCCTATTATAAACAAGTAAGAGGTTCTAGTCGGGAGCTCCCGACTAGGGGATACCCTGAACCCTCTTCTTCAAACATCAAATGCATATATATTCTATTTTAGAAGCTATATGTCAAGTTGGTGACTCTAGCTCTTATTATTTACCAAAATTGCCCAAAAAACAGGATATCGATATCGATTGCTTGGAAACGGAGTAAGTTATCGATTATCGGAAACAAACTCGATCTGCGCGGGAACTAGGAGCATCTAAATCTAAAATTTCAAGTCTCTAGCTCTTATAGGTTCTGAGATCCTGGCGTTCATACATACGGACGGACGGACGGACGGACAGACAGACGGACATGTCTAGATCGACTCGGCTATTGATGCTGATCAAGAATATATATACTTTATGGGGTCGGAGATACTGCCTTCTGCCTGTTACATACATTTGTATTTTGCACAAATACAATATACCCCTTATACCCAATTTTAATGGGTTCAGGGTATAATGATTTTGCCTACTTTCGATATATACAAGGCTGACAAGGCTGGATGCTTAATCGGGTATTTGGAAAGCTCTGCTGAAAGTATGGAGAGTTCACCACTGTTTGCCGAACATTTCCGATAAAAATAAAACTTAACTTGAGATGCACTATGGTTCAGAAAATCCCCGGTATATCCAGTCAATAAAATATTTTAATTTTGAAATATTCAAACCTCAAAATATGTATATCCCAACATGCTAGATAGAATTATGTGTAATATACAACTGAATATTTTATGTCGTATAACTTTTTTGTTTGTCATTCGATCTTCATTAAAATTGCGGGGCATAAATATGGCAAATGTGTTGTGAGGAATAAGGCATCCAAAAATAATAAGTATATATCTAATCTATGCACAAACTAAAATTGTGTTGTGTATCCAGATCTGATTTTTTTTTTAAATGATGCAAAAAAGAAATAGAAATCGATTATTTGACATATCATGAAAAGTACGCAGAGCAGGTTGGCTGTACAAATTTGTTCACAATCGTTGTGAAAATGCATCTGATACGCGATTCACAGTTTTCGGAAAATCCACCGCAATTGGATGGAACGCAAGGTTTTTCTTACTGCTTCCAGTTTTTCCCCCAAAAATAACATGGAGAGAACACGTAAATTTTAACTTTTTATTGTTTATTGTCAAAAATCAAAGTAAAATGTAACTTGACTATAGTTGATTTTAAGATAATACGTATATTTTTAGCTGCCACAGGAAATGCCCTAAAAAATATCTGCCAGTCATAAGCCCTGAATATTTTCTACGCGAATATGACAAGAAATGCATATTCTTACGTTCTCGAATAATGACAGCCAAAGAAAAGGCATGCAGTTAAAGCAGAAGAAGGAAGGAAGCTGTTCCGAGCTTGTGGCTTATTTCTACCTGTTGATCGAGGTGCGAACGGTAAAGTAAAGTGTATTGCATTCGTGCGGTTATTAGCTTGGCCTTCTTTGTTGTTTTTTATACCCTGGACCCATTCAAAATGTACAAAAAGTGTATGATAGTCGCATGGAAATGGGTGTTACAGACCACACACGGTACATACATATATTCTTGGTCAGGACTACAAGATGTGCCCATCTCCAGACTCCAGACTTGGCGAGTAGGTTCTTGTATGGATTAGTAATTCTTAACCCTTAAAAATGCCTAGTTACCAAGATTAAAAAAAGGTTATAATCAAGAACGCATATCTCTTAGTGAGGGAAAGGAGTGGAAAGAATTTGTGTTTGCATGTAAAGGTTGCTCGGCGAGGCAGCCAGAGTAGTTGGGCACTTATTATTGTTGCCACCAGAGAGAAGAACAAAGTCAAAATTGTAATGCATACCATGATCGGAGTGACCAGTGGGCTTCTGGGCCTGGTCGCTGGTTCTGGTCGCCTCATAGGCATGTGAAGGCCAACAATAATACCTGTTACCCGCAATCCACAACCGGCGGATACAGATACAGATACCCCAATACCAATACGTTAGAGAAAACTTATCAAGCTCTATTTTGATTCGAGCAAACAAAATGAGAAAACTCGGCAATACGAGATGAGTAGAACAGAAACTAAAACCGCCTTTGTGGTTGGACTGCGTTATTTTCAATTAAACACGTAGTTACTTGAGACATTTCTTGCCAAACCACAAAAGATTGTCCGGCAGGAGGGTCGGAGGGTCGGAGGGTCGGTTGATTGTTGTTCCGACTGAGGGACATGGGACAAGAAGCTGTCCGCTGTTGTCACACGAGATCGGTGACTAGTAATCGATAGCCTACTTAAATGACGACATATATCTGTGGTGGGAATACAATTTAAATATATGGTAAGTATTCAACCTGTGAAGCTACTTAACCAAAAGGTTGACCATATAAAATGGTTTTTACTTACCATCTCCAGAAATGCTGCCTTGTGAACTGTGCGAATCTTCTAGAATGCAAATGAGAACCGACTCAAATTAATTCGACATACTTATGTATATGCTCGCAATCTATAGATACTGTGAAAACTCTGCCAGCGGCCACTCCAATCAGGCGGATACCCCCTTTTCCTTAAAGCGTTTTTATACATTTTCGAACTGGAACGGATCCCATACAAGGCACCAAATTATGGCATAAACAGTTCTTAATAAAATCCTAATTAAAATCTGTTAAAATTGGTTGTAAGACCAGCGATATAAAGTAGACCCCATTTATGTATAAGGTATGAAAATCGCTGTTAGATTTGAACCGAAACCCTTTAGATAGAAATATGGATAGATAATCGTAATTATTATTTTCAATTACTTTTCTCATATTTTCTCAATCTATACTAAACTAGTACGCATTTGAATTTTATGAGATTTTTTTGAAAATGTGTCAACACAAGCTTAATAATATTTTTGTCATGTTTAGTGTATTTTACTCAATTGTGGCTCCAGCTGACTTACTTTTAAACCTCAAATAATAGTAAATTATAAATAAATAAAACACAAAAAAAAACATGTATAAATCAGGCCAAGCCCATTCCCTGTCATATTGGAGTTCGCTAAAGAGTTTTCACTGTACCGTGTGCGCATGTATATACATATGAAATCAATATGAATTACCTGCGTTAGTTTGAGCCTCACCCATGGCTGTTATCCATTCCACATTCGCCTGTGACTGACCCAGAAAACTGCTGCCAGGCGATTCTTGGATCACCGGCGTAGATATTCCGCGCACCAAGCCGCTTGAGTATTCGTCAAACTTTTGATCTGCAATCAATTGGTAAATGATAAATTATGCTTTAAATTGCAAATCGCAAAGGATGTATATATTCTCAATCAGAAAAGACTCAGATAGGTTTTCTCAGCTCAATAACAAAACGAATGCGAATCCAAGATATTTAACGTTTTTTTCACTTTAAGGATATCTTCTACAAAATTGAAAAAAATAAACTATTCTAGTCGGGCATAGAAAATGCCCTGCAGCTCTTTTACCTATCAATGGTTACACCAGCATTATTCAAAATTAATATAATATAAACAAGTAAGAGTTCTAGTCGGGAGCTCTCGACTAGGGGATACCCTGAACCTTCTTCTTCCAACATCAAATGCATATATATTCTATTTTAGAAGCTATATGTCAAGTTTGGTGACTCTAGCTCTAATTATTTACCAAAATTGCCAAAAATCAGGATATCGATATCGAACTAGGGAACTAGGAGCACCTAAATCTAAAATTTCAAGTCTCTAGCTCTTATAGGTTCTGAGATCCTTGCGTTCATACATACGGACGGACGGACGGACGGACGGACAGACAGACGGACATGGCTAGATCGACTCGGCTATTGATGCTGATCAAGAATATATATACTTTATGGGGTCGGAGATGCTTCCTTCTGCCTGTTACATGCATTTGGATTTTGCACAAATACAATATATACCCCTTATACCCATTTTTAATGGGTTCAGGGTATAAAAAGTTAAAGTGAAAATATAGCTATAAAATTGCTCCAAACTTGGTCTGTCGATTCACATAAATTATTTACAGATTAAACATATTACAGCTTATTGTATATTACAGCCATCAGTCAATCAGTCAGTTAAATAGTCAGTCAGTCAATCAGTCAGTCAACCAGTCAGTCAATCAGTCAGTCAATCAATCAGTAGGTCAATCAGTCAGTTAATCAGTCAATCAATCAGTCAGTCAGCCAGTCAGTCAATCACTCAGTCAGTCAGTGAATCAGTCAGTCAATCACTCGGTCAGTCAATCTGACAGTCAATCAGTCCGTCAGTCAATCGGTTAATCAGTCAGTCAATCGCTTAGTCAGTCAATCAGTCAGTCAATCAATCAGTCAGTCAAGCAGTCATTCAATCAGGCAATCAGTCAATCAGTCACACAATCAGTCAGTCAGTCAATCAGTCAGTCAGTCAGTCAGTCAATCAGTCAGTCAATCAGTCAGTCAATCAGTCAGTCAATCAGTCAGTCAATCAATCAGTAGGTCAATCAGTCAGCTAATCAGTCAATCAATCAGTCAGTCTGCCAGTCATTCAATCAGTCAGTCAGTCAGTGAATCAGTCAGTCCATCACTCGGTCAGTCAATCAGTCAGTCAATCACTCAGTCAGTCAATCAGTCAATCAATCAATCGGTGAGTCATTCAGTCAGTCATTCAGTCAGTCAAGCAGTTAACCAATCAGTCAATCAGTCAGTCAGACAGCCAGTCAGGCAAACAATCAGTCAGTCAATCAGTCAGTCAGTCAATCAGTCAGTCAATCAGTCAGTCAGTCAGTCAGTCAATCAGTCAATCACTCAGTCAGTCAATCAGTCAGTCAATTAGTCAGTCAGTCAGTCAATCAGTTATTCGGTCAGTCAATCACTCAGTCAGACAATCAGTCAATCAGTCAGTCAATCAGTACATCAGTTAGTCAGTGTATCAGTCAGTCAGTCAATTAGTCAGTCAATCAATCAATCAGTCAATCAGTCAGTCAGTCAGTCAATCACTCAGTCAGTCAATCTGTCAGTCACTCAGGCAGTCAGTCAATCGGTCAATCAGTCAGTCATTCACTCAGTCAGTCAATCGGTCAGTCAATCAATCAGTCAATCAAGCACTCAATCAATCAGGCAATCAGTCAATCGGTCAGTCAATCACTTAGTCAGTCAATCAGTCAGTCAATCAGGCAGTCAACAAACTCAGTCAGTCAATCACTCAATCAATCAGTCAGTCAGTCAATCAGTCCGTCAGTCAATCAGTCAATCAATCAGTCAATCACTCAGTTAGTCAATCAGTCAGTCAATCAATCAGTCAGTCAAGCAGTCAATCAATCAGGCAATCAGTCAGTCAATCACTCAGTCAGTCAATCAGTCTGTCATGCAGTCAATCAATCAGGCAATCAGTCAATCAGTCAGTCAATCACTTAGTCAGTCAATCAGTCAGTCAATCAAGCAGTCAATCACTCAGTCAGTCAATCAGTCAGTCAATCAGTCAGTCAGTCAATCAGTCAGTCAATCTGTCAGTCAATCAGGCAGTCAGTCAATCGGTCAATCAGTCAGTCATTCACTCAGTCAGTCAATCAGTCAGTCAATCAATCAGTCAATCAAGCACTCAATCAATCAGGCAATCAGTCAATCGGTCAGTCAATCACTTAGTCAGTCAATCAGTCAGTCAATCAAGCAGTCAATCACTCAGTCAGTCAATCAGTCAGACAATCAGTCAGACAATCAGTCAATCAGTCAGTCAATCAGTACATCAGTTAGTCAGTGTATCAGTCAGTCAGTCAATTAGTCAGTCAATCAATCAATCAGTCAATCAGTCAGTCAGTCAGTCAATCACTCAGTCAGTCAATCTGTCAGTCAATCAGGCAGTCAGTCAATCGGTCAATCAGTCAGTCATTCACTCAGTCAGTCAATCAGTCTGTCATGCAGTCAAACAATCAGGCAATCAGTCAATCAGTCAGTCAATCACTTAGTCAGTCAATCAGTCAGTCAATCAAGCAGTCAATCACTCAGTCAGTCAATCAGTCAGACAATCAGTCAATCAGTCAGTCAATCAGTACATCAGTTAGTCAGTGTATCAGTCAGTCAGTCAATTAGTCAGTCAATCAATCAATCAGTCAATCAGTCAGTCAGTCAGTCAATCACTCAGTCAGTCAATCTGTCAGTCAATCAGGCAGTCAGTCAATCGGTCAATCAGTCAGTCATTCACTCAGTCAGTCAATCAGTCAGTCAATCAATCAGTCAATCAAGCACTCAATCAATCAGGCAATCAGTCAATTGGTCAGTCAATCAGTCAGTCAGTCAATCAGTCAATCACTCAGTCAGTCAATCAGTCAGTCAATTAGTCAGTCAATCAGTCAGTCAGTCAATAAGTTATTCAGTCAGTCAATCACTCAGTCAGACAATCAGTAGGTCAGTTAATCAGTCAGTTAGTCAGTCAATCAGTACATCAGTTAGTCAGTGAATCAGTCTGTCATCAATCAGTCAGCCAGTCAATGAATCAGTCAATCAGTCAGTAGTCGGTCAATCACTCAGTCAATCAATCTGTCAGTCAATCAGTCAGTTAGTCAATCAGTCAATCAGTTAGTCAATCACTCAGTCAGTCAATCAGTCAGTCAATCAGTCAGTCAATCAATTAGTCAGTCAGTGAATCAGTCAGTCAATCACTCGGTCAGTCAATCTGTCAGTCAATCAGTCCGTCAGTCAATCGGTTAATCAGTCAGTCAATCGCTCAGTCAGGCAATCAGTCAATCACTCAGTCAGTCAATCATGCAGTCAACAAACTCAGTCAGTTAATCAGTCAGTCAATCAGTCATTCAATCAATCAATCAGTCAATCAGTCAATCAGTCAGTCAATCACTCAGTCAGTCAATCAGTCAGTCAATCAATCAGTCAGTCAGTCAAGCAGTCTATCAATCAGGCAATCAGTCAATCAGTCAGTTAATCAGTCTGTCATGCAGTCAATCAATCAGGCAATCAGTCATTCAGTCAGTCAATCAGTCAGTCAATCACTCAGTCAATCAATCAGTCAGTCAATCAGGCAGTCAATCACTCTGTCAGTCAATCAGTCAGTCAATCACTTAGTCAGTCAACCACTCAGTCAGTCAAATAGTCAGTCAGTCAATCAGTCAGTCAGTCAGACAGCCAACCAGTCAGCACAAATATTTTTGTACATAGAGACAGTAGTCGGATGATGCTGGAAAATATGTAAGGATCATTGTGAAACTCGTAAATTCCTAGTTTGATCAAAATTCAATATTCAAGATACCCAATTTTTGAAGTTATCAGAAAGTAATATAAACGAAAGAGATTAATGGGAATGGATGTTGATCTTGTCTCGCCCAATATTTGTGCATATCGATCCACTGTGCTGCGCAACAATTTCTATTAGCAAATCCGTGACTGAAGCAACAGAATTTGTTCATTTAATTCCAAGACCATACATAACAACAGAAAACCAAGAAGCAGAGCTCGGAATAACAAGGTCCGTGAATGTGTCTTACTCTTAAGTCGAACACTTGTCTTTGGCCTACTCATCCCCCGATCCCTCCGCATCACAGGCCAGTCGCGAGCCAAGGCTATTGTTCTTTGACAAAATTTTTACTAGAGTTTTGTCTCTATGCCTTTCTCAATAGCAAACCGCGTGTACTTATAAATGTATGCTATTTCGTTGACCGTTTTTAATACCCTGAACGCATTGAGAGTGGGTAAAACGGGTTTAAAGGGTTTTGTGGAGATGTAGGTAACAGCAGAACGACTCGACTATCTAGGCAAAATACAAAAGCAATGCTCGACATTTAATGAGTATATATATATTATTAAAAATATAATAAGGGTTTGATGTCTGCTCCCATTTCGATAAAGATCGATAACTGGAAATCGATTTTTTTTTTTAATTTATTAGAACTAGATAGAAAGCTACTCTTGATATTTTAAAAGACTATACTCTCACGGAACGAGATTCTAATTAAGAATTTATAAATCCTTCTTTTTTCATAATATCGATAAAGATCGATATCTGGAAATCGATTAACTTGCAAATTATAGGAACTGGAGCCTGGTATTAGGTTATCATTTCGTATAGCAGGTAGCCCACATCACATCATCATCAGATAATCAACACCTAATTTAATCTAATTAGTTTGGGGCTGAGGAAAGAAAACGCAACAGCTCAGCGAAAATGCACTATGTATGCATGGAATCAAAGTAGGGTATCCGCCCAGTCGGGCACTCCCGACTAGAGCACTCCTACTTATGTTAATTCGGAAATGTAAATGCAATCTTTTTAGTTCCTTGTTCCATCCTCAATATTTTATGAATAACTGGCTACGTATTCAAATCAAGTCGACACACGTACATATTTAAATAGCCTCTACTCTTTTTATCTCCATTAATTTTATTAGATTTTAGTATAAGTTCAAAATATTATTTAGAGAAAAACGACGTGCTAATGACAAGACTTTTCGCACTTGATTCTAAGCCATTAGAATTTGTAAGGTTTTGAGCCCAAATCGGGATAAAAATTCTTTAATTACGCGTAATTCGTAATTCATTTCATACAAGCTTTAAAAGGTCTAAAAATAAGTACAAAAATGATTGAATTAAGTACAAAAAATTACTCAAATTAAATAACTCTCGTCTTAAAACTGTGGAATATGTTTATGACTATATATTTTATATATTTGATATTCTATATATTTATTTCTACTTTCAGGGAATAAATGTCATCAATATGTTGAAAGTTCAAGACACTTCCCATTCCAGTTTTCTGCAATCTGTATGACAGCTTATCAACCACTGAAGACGCCGAGATATGGTCGAAGACAAGATAAAATGATATTGACTATTTTTGATTTCGTGGAAACGATCTATATCGATGATACAAAATAAAATCTGGCTTTTCGTGAACTAGGAGAGCCTAGGACCTGATTCCACTATGGTCAAGATTTCTTACACTTACAAACTTCACATTCATTTTCATCGATTCCATTAGCACTACATATGAATGTCAAAAGTAGCGACGTCGAATGTGAAAACGTGTTTTCGGGAGCTTCCGACTAGGGGATACCCTGAACCCTCTTCTTCCAACTTTAAATGCATATATATATTCCATTTCAGAAGCTATATGTCAAGTTTGGGGACTCTAGCTCTTATTATTTACCAAAATTGCCCAAAAAACAGGATATCGATATCGATTGCTTGGAAACGGAGTAAGTTATCGATTATCGGAAACAAACTCGATCTGCGCAGGCACTAGGCGCACCTACATCTGAAATTGTCTATAGCTCTTATAAGTTCTGAGATCCTTGCGTTTATACATACGGACGGACGGACGGACATACAGACGGACATGGCTAGATTGACTCGGCTATTGCTGCTGATCAAGAATATATATACTTTATGGGGTCGGAGATGCTTCCTTCTGCCTGTTGCATACATTTAGATTTTGCACAAATACAATATACCCTTATACCCATTTTTAATGGGTTCAGGTTATAAAAATGTGTGATTCGCGAACAATGTAGGAAATGTGGACAGTGGAATTAAGCTATTAATGATACTTTTCTATTTTCCCCATTACTCAGGGCGAATACCAACAACTTTTGGAAAATGTCAAAAATGTGGTTTCTAATGGGAAAACGTGGAGGCAACATTTGACATTAGCAAATATTTACAGTGGAATTAGGCTATAAATGAACTTTGTTTTGTCCGCTAGATGGATTTTTACACAATCTGAGTTTTCGTAGAAAGTTTTTAATTGCCCAGCTTGGTGTAGATAATTTAAGCTTATATCCTTGAATGGGTTATATTCCTTATTAACCCACACGTTAAATATTATATGAATGCATTACAAGATGAAAAAGCAAGCCGGCTCGAACCATCAGCCGAGCGACTTTCAGCCCCGAGAACCATTGTAAAAGTGATTGGAATAACTTACCCTTTGACTTGTCATCCAACGATGTCTGGGTATAGACTTGGCTATGCTGATGCTGATGCTGATGCTGATGGGTGCTGATGCTGACGGCGAGGTGCTCGCTGGCTGTGGAGCTTTGGAGTGTGTGCAATGTTGATGAGCCGCCCATTTGCTGTGGGAGTTGTTGATGCTGGTGCTGGGGCTGGGCTTGGGATTGATGGATAATATGGTGTTGGTGCTGATGCTGATGCTGATGCTGGTGTACTAGGTGGTGTACCGGCGAGAGTGTCGCTAGCCCATGGCTAAGATGTGGCGACGTCTGCATTTCCATTATAAGCATATCATTAATACCTGTAAAAGCGATGCGAACGTAAGCTACATCAGTTACTAAGTTACTTGGTTACTCGCTCCTGCAGCCATAATCTGACCATCTGCTAAATGCCTTGCCCAAGGCTTGGGTTTTTGGCCTGTCTATTTATAATTATAGATAACTAGAGAAAAGTGTGCTACTTACAGCGCAGTGTGGCAGTGGCAACCGATAGAATTTCAGAAGCGTGCTGATAGAAGCTCAGCAGCCGGACAACCGAGGACTTGAGACGGACGACGGAGGTAGGAGTACAAGGAACAGAGAACAGGCGGAGGACGGGTAGCAACCGTTTTTTTTTTCTGGCGCTCGAGCCACGAACACGAAACTACAACCTGATGAAGACAACAAGGTAAAGGCGAGCAGCAGGCGGACAGACAGAACTAGTATTGCACAAGGTAAAAAATCAACAACATCAACAGGGTACTCTAGTCGGGCGTACCTGACTGACAGATACTCTGTGCCAAGTGCTGAGCTACCTTTATAAAAATTGACATATAATAAAACGTACGTATGTGCGTACACGTAAAAGCTTTATTTAATTATTATTAACAATAATTAAAGTTATACAAATCGATTTACAATTATAACTACAAAACAATCGAAAAGGAATAATGTTTCATTAGGAAAATTTCTAATTTCTAATCAGCAGTACAAAATGCCGTCTTTTATTTTATATAAATATATATAAATAAATTTCATTGTGAATATTTAATTTCGAATCAGCTCTAAAAAAATGATGTTTTATTTCTTATAAAGTTTATTTTATTTTACTTATTTTATTCATTTTATTTTACTTTATTTATTTTAATTAATTTAATTTTTTATTTATTTTATTTTGATTTTTTTATTATACATTTCAAATATTTTAAGTCCTTGGTAATTTATATACATTGTGGGCACGGAGATGCTTCCAATGAAGCTTCTGAAATTTACCAACTCCTGCCCAAAATCAGTATACTTCTTTGCCCAGGAATATAAGTTGCTTGGTTCTCTTATCGATAGAACTCGACCAGATAATACCCTGTACCAAATGTAAGTAAATGTATGTCGCTTCTTTCTCGGGCTCAACTCAATATAAAAGTGTGCTTATGGTATACAAAAACTATGTAAGTATAAGACGGGAATTTCGGACAGTTAAGTAATATTAACTAGAGTGTGAGTTGAGTACTTAAAAAAATTGGATTAAAAAACTTAGCTACTCCTTATGTTCATTTTCACAGCCATAGCCATTACATTGTTAGAGGTACGTCTAACAGGCCAAATATTCGAGCTGAGTTTATTGCCGACATTTAACGCACCAGATATACCTCACTTGCCTCTAAAAAACAGGGTATCCAATGCGGTAACCAGTAGTGGGGACTCGGTGCGCGTTGAGGTCTGACAAAACGCTGCACAAGAAATCTCGATGATAATGCCGAGGCAAATCATGTTGATTATGAACTAAACTGGAACCACAAAACGATTGTAGTTCCTGCTCCTCGAACAAAAAGAAACACATTTTTTAGAGCTCGAGGCAAAGGTAGGCAAAAAAACACCCTCTCTCGCTCTCTCATTTATACCAGGCCAGCAAAACTCAAAATATTCGAAAATCAACCTAAACGGTCGAAATTGTTTTCAATTGCCATTTTATATTTCCGGTGCGTTTTAATTTTTTTTAAAACTTGAGAGGGCAACGGGAAAAGGAAACTTCTTATTATAATTAAAATTAGGTTGTCCTTCTATTCCCGCTGAAGGAGGTTTGATGGGAAATTCGAATGCCCTAAAGGTTTGTTGGGATATTCGAATACTCTACAGGTTTGTTGGGATATTCGAATATTCTACAGGTTTGTTAGAGTATTCGAATACTATACAGATTTCTTGGGATATTCGAATAATCTACAGGCTGGTTAGAGTATTCGAATACTCTACAGGTTTGTTGGTATATTCGAATACTTTACAGGTTTGTTGGGATATTCGAATAATCTACAGGTTTGTTGGGATATTCGAATATTCTACAGGTTTGTTAGGGTACTCGCATTCGAATGCATAGCTGCATAAAATAGACTTTTACTGACATGTTCATTTGGACTTCTCGAGACTAGCTTTTTATTGATCCTGAATAGAAGAAAATTGCACCTAACATAGCTAAGCTATATTAGATGCAGCATAAAGTCGTATTTTCCCGCTCTTTTCACCTTTTTTCGTCCCTTCTTGTGGCAGCGCGCACGAGCTACATTCATGCACATATGTATGTTTAAATGTCATACATACACACCTGCATACAGTCAGCGCATATAGGGCGCGCGCGCGCACTTATTCACCTGTTGTTAATTGACCTTTTTAAGGCTCGCCCTCTCCTAGGGTCGGGTCACTGTCGTCGGTCGGGCAAGTGCATATGTATGGGCCGTTGTGTTTGGGGTGCGGGATCCGGCGTTCGGGCTGATGATATTAATGGGAATTGCATATGATGCATAGTCGAATGTGTGTCTATCTATATCCGCATGTAGTTAACGGACCATCTGTTTTTTATGGCCTTGTGGAGGGTGCTCTAATCCTGCCATGTGTACAGCATTTAAGGAGCCTTCCCAATATATATGACATATCAACCCGGCTGAATAAAGTAGTATGTAGTATGTAGTATATATCTGTCCGGGATAAGAGATCATAGACATACATACTACAGGTCCAAACTGTGGAATATTTCAGCTTCAAAGGTCCGTTTATAATAAGTAAATAAAAACTTAATAATTAAACAAAAACCCAATAATTCTTGAGACTCTGTCTCTTGCCTCTTTACCCCCATGAACTTTAAACGTTGCCACCACCAGAGCAGAGGCGCCTTTTGTGAGCCGGCTGTGGCTGATCGTGGAGGGAAAATAAACACGAATGCATCAAACTTAACCCACCGAAGAATATAAGAAATAAGACATCTTTGGTCGAGACTGCCCGACTAGCAAATACCACGTGTTTCATAGCAAACAACAGATCTTAGATGAAAATGGTTCATTGGTAAAAAGAAGGAAAGAAGAAGTACGACACAAACAAGTACGAGTCGAGCCGACTAGGACATACAGTTTCCTTCTACAAAAATACAGCAAATGCATGCGCACGCTTCGGTGTTTATAGTCCGATCAGTATGCCAATTATCGAATTAAAGTGTGCGGGAAGAATGCAAAAAAGCAATAACATTTTATTTCCTTATTCTTGCTCTTATAGAGAAGTGGATAGAACTTGAATATTGTTAAATTGACCTGGCTACTGTCCCTGGTTAAGAACATATATATATATATATATAAGATTGCAGATCCCGCTCTATGCTAAGGTTAGCTGGCCCACTATTTAAACAAGCAAGTGTCATACGATAATGTAGTTATTTCTCTGTCAACAACTGTAATAAATGAGTTAATATAGAAAGGGTTCGATGTTAATTGAAAGAAAGAGATGTTCAGCAAAGAGTATAGAGTTAACAGACGTAAGATCTAAGTTCGCAGCTCCCTTACTTACAATAGGATAATAGAAAGAGTTTAGATATCACGGCCGTAAGATATAAGATCGCAGCTCCCTAACCCACAATTTAAATAAATACGCACGTGTATATCCGTGTGATAAGATAATGTTCTTATATCTCTGTCTATAACTAAGTATATTAAATATGTTAATATAGATATAGATATTCTCAGCAAAGAGTATAGAGATCACGGACGAACCCACTCGAAACCTGAGCAGAGTGCTTAAATGTTCTCTCTTAGATCATATTTTGGCCGCGTAATACATTCAATTTGAAAAATAAAAGTGGGAAAATAAAAACTTATTTTCACACACTCGCGCTAAATAATGGCGGCGAAGCCGCCGCTGACGACGCCTACGACGACGACGACGACGACGATGACAACGTCGACCTAGCGCAACACGAGAGTTACGAATAAACTCCACTAAGAAACGGGAAAACAAGCTCAAGGTCAGTAGCGTGGGTAAATTTGTCTCTATTTAAATGCATACAAACAGACAAACATGCATATACACACACATATGTACATACATATCTGCTAGATAGAGTCCGTAATATAACTTGGTCTTGATCTTCGTTTGCGTTGGCATTCAGCATTTTCTCAGACCTGCCTCCTTGTCATGGGGTCAAATACGATTTAAGCTATTAGTTGAATATTCTATTCGAAATTCTATTATAACTCTCAAGTAAGAATTAAAATATACTTGCATTCATGGCAAAAACTTATCCTCTCCAACGTGTCTTAGTACCGCAAGATAAGAAAATTTATTTTAACTCAAACTTCATTTTTGTCCAGCGATTAAGATTTTGAATACTTTTAGCCGTTCCAATGATCGTAATAACTGGTTGTTAACTGGACTTAAAACAATCCGACTTGAACCCGGAATTCCAATTAACTTTAACAAAAAAAAAGGCTGAATATGCATTCATCTAACCACATTTGAAATGAGAAAATTTTGGGAAGCGATCAAATTTAGCAAAAACTTAAAAAAAAAAATATTTATGAATGTAAGGTCAACCCTAGTTTTGTACGAAACGATCCCTTAAACTCAAGGCTCGAACCGCGCACCGAAGCACTGTTACTTTGTTTGGGGCTTGCAGCCCTGGCAATAAAATATTAGAGACTCTAAGAGTTTAAGCAATAATCGATAACAGATAATCGATAGTACATATTGGAGCTATATGACATTATGCGCGCGGATCTATGCCAAGTTGTATTGAAAGAAAAGATTCCTATACAGACTTAGTTTGTGATTATTCGTAACACCTGCATGATGCACCTGCAAGGATAATATTGAATAAAAATGTACTCACCTCACCCAAATGTTGTTCAAACGGTAATCAACTTAATTGGTTTTGGTTTGCATAACGAAAGTAAAAAATTTGTAAATAAGGCGACTTTTTGAGTATCCACCAAAAATAAGCGAGACTCAACAGTTCATTCACTAATTACGCGGTCTGCTTTTTCATGCAAGTATTTTTTATTGATTTCACATTTTTTGTACAGGTAACTTCACATATGAATTGATCGTACATCACGGCCACATCGATCTTGTGTGCAATTATCAAATATACAGGGTATGTGTTCACACATTATTGTTTGTCGTTGTCGTCGGCGTGAAAGAAGAAGAAGCCGCGTTCCACTTGCTGCTGCTGCTGCTTTTGTTAGCGACTGCGCTTCAGGTCCCTGCCAGGTGGATCGGTAGACCGCGCTCAAAGAGTTCTTAGGCGAAACTGTTTGGCTGCTGAATGTGAATGGTCGGCGGAAGCAGCTCGAAGCCGCTCTCACTCAACAAGCTGCTTTCGATACATACATACGCATACTTATTGCCTTATATACATACATATATGTGTGTGTGTGTGTGCATATCAAAACTAGCTTGTGGAGTGAGAGTGATATGTTTATATATGTGCGTGTGTGTGTGTGTGCATATTAAAACTAGCTTGAACTGGGAGAGCGATATGTACATATGTGTGTGTGTCTGTGTGTCTGTGTGTGTGTGTGCATATCAAGACCAGCTTGAGCAGTGAGAGCGATATGTATATATATATGTGTGTGTGTGTTGGTGTATTGATGCATGTAGCTGTGTGTGTGTGTGTTCTGAGCCACTCTCAAAACCAGGCCTGAGCAAAAATGCTACTGGTGGCTTTACGGTTGGTCGGTTTCGTTTCTACTCAAACGGGCCGGCGACTAATCGGGAGCGTTTGCGTTACCTTACCTGAGTGTGAGCAAGTTTTTTTTTTATTATTTTTGTTGTGCTTCCACGATCATCAGAGAAGCGCGATTTTAAGAGTTGTACGCATTCATATGTACACACATACAGATGCATATGTGTGCGTGCTCAGAGAAACTCGCGTGGCCATGTTAGCAGCTAATGTATGTGTATGTATGAACAAGTGTATGTATGTATGTCACTTCAACCCAGTCACAGCTCAAATATGCTTACACTACATGCACTCTTACGCATATATACACACCTACATACATACATGTCTACTTACATATGCAAGCACAAACATACCGATGCATGTGAGGAAGGCTGGGCTGGGCCATTGATTTCCCCCAAACACATAAATACATATATGGATATATATATATATATATATAGGTACGCATGCATATAGAAATGTTTATATATATGTGTGTTTAATATACGCTGCATATGTGTGTATATTAAGCGGAGCTTTATGATTTTTCTTTTTTTTTTTGGGGCAAAGAGTGATAAAAGAGAGGTAAGGAAAAAAACGGAAGAAAGAGTGTCTCCCTTCAACCCTCTTCCGACTATTATTTGGTAAGTTGAATGTTCTACGTGTTTACGAAAATTATTTATCTCCCTTGTATGTATATGTATTTCTTTTATAGTTGTATAAAGAATATAAATATGTATGTATCTCAAGCTTTGTGATATACATACATTATACAGTACAGTTTCGTATGGGGTATACATACACATATAATACATACGGGTCTGAACCGGTTCGATCAAGGAATTGTCGACACAAAAAACAGTTAGGCCAAACTATACGTTTTTCAAAAATGATTTGGTTTTTTAATAAGCCAATTTTCACGGAGAGTCAACCCCAGAGTTTAAAAAACTTGGTTCCAAGCATTTCTTTTACTTTAGCTTTTGTGTCCACACCAAAATTAGACCGTAAATTCCATGTGAAAACAGATATAGCTCTCAATATCGGCAGAACGAAGAAGCGTAGAATTTCATTCAATTTTTAGGTTTTTAGCTTGCAGCCCCGTGCTTAATATGTGTATTATATATAATATATAATTATTTGTATTCATGACACTCGTAGATGCTCTGTAATTACATACTATTTTATTATTATTATTTTTGCGCCAGATTGATTTATTGATCAGATTTATTGACAGACTGACGGTCTGAATAAATGGAAATCAAAATGATCTTGTCTTAAGTGAAACATCGTTCTCTTATCTACTTAAAAATTGATATATTTAATTTAACCTTTATCCAAATATGCCTTAAAATATATAATTTTCTTATTGAAATTGAATATTGAAATACCTTAGAAATTAAAACAAAATCTTTCTCTTTTCTTTTCTATTTTCTCTTCCCAACTAAAGAACTGATATATCTAATTTTAATAGAAAATATTATAATCGATTTAAAGGGGCCTTACGTATTAAAATACATAGCTCAAGAAATACATCTGTTCACCTTTTGTATGCTAGTGCGACCAAGTAAAGTAAAATATTTGCTGTACATCTTTGAAAGAACAGGCATGAGTTCATAAAATCTTATTATATGTATATACATAATTATTATATGCATCTGAATTAAAAGGAATACACACTACTTATATGCACTTATGAATGTATACGAGTCATGTAAATGTTGCATGTACTCGAACCACTCAAACGACTCGAACTTTAAATACCCTCGCATAAAAGCATATGATTTAGAAGTGCGGTGTTGATGAGGTGTTCCAGTAAAGCTCACAAAAGGCCAAGTTTGCTTAAAGCATTAAAATAGAATCAAACAAGTATTTAATACTAGATGTAATTTATCTAATTATATAGTGTATACAGATGTACTACTATGTGGAGTATTATGGCAATGGTATTAGACCTGGGAGGCTAGTTAACCTTAACGAAGAGCTATATACATATATATATATGTGTGTTACATATCTCATTGCGAAATAAGAGTACCCGTCTAAAGGCTATACAATATATAGATATGCACACAAACAGACATGTAAAGTTATATATACATGTATATATATATAAATATATATATGCATCTGGTTGGTTATACTCTTCGCACGCATTGCACAGGTGCTGGCGAGATTGACAAGACGGCGCGTGCCAAACAAACGGCTACTACCGTTGTAAGCTACGGTAGAAGAAGAAGAAAACGAAGAAGAGGATGAGGGAAAAGAGAGAGAATGATCACTGAACCATCTCCTGTATGGCTGCACCACAATACGCTCACGAAGTCGAATTTGTAAGCCCAGCAGCAAAAGTCGCAGCATCTATACTCTAACAAATGATACAAGAAGATACAAGCATGGAATATATCTACATATCTACAGATCTTCTTATGTATCTATACATATATCATGTACATGTATCTATACATTATGTATCTATACATATATAAATATATCGTTATATAGATATACAAAAATGTTTGGCAAGATGACGTGTTTTCTATTCTGGGAGAATCCACCCGCAACCATGGAAAATGAAATACGAATGATTGTATAAGCCTTTTGGTTGTTTTAAATTTTGTTGATCTTCGTAGAAACTCAATTAAGAAACGGCGGCTCAAAAGCCCTATAACACTTTCAAATGTCTATGTAAAATATAACTTGATAATATCAGCTAGTATACACATATAGAAATATGTCCCGATTGGCTTCGAAATGATTTTTTGGGCTCACCGTAAAATATCAAGGCCAGAAATTGTGGATGGTAACGTTTTGTTTATCATCTGATAGACTTTTCATTTATTTTTAAATTTAACGTGTAACGTTCCATTTGAAACAAGATTCAACGATTGCGATATCCTATGGATATTCCCAAGCGAGAAAAGTTTGGAAGAGCAATTCAATTTAAAGCTTAAAAAAACTTGGCCCTGACAAAGCCGGGTAATACCAGCTGCTAATGTACAATGTAGAATATCTTAGATATATACCCATATACACGAATGAAATCCTGGTCGGGCCCTCCTACTTGCTGTGTTATAGGCCTTAAAGTCTCCGTGGAAGAAAGCGGGCTAATTGTAGATGAAGTAGACAGCTGGCCAAGACTCGGGGTATGTTTTGAATATATGTATATCTATGTGCATGTACTACGAGTATGTTTGTAAACAGCATACACAGACACACATATGTATGTACGTACATCCGTTCGGTTGAGTTTGTGTTCCGTGATCTCGCCTTTACAACTGAAAACCTCTTTATGGCTAGCAAAGCCCGCGCTTTCTATACAGAACACCTGTTTGATAGATGGAACCGTGACGCCGTCAACCGAGCGAGTGTTGGCGATCAGAAAAACCACCCCATGCCTTCCCTTTTAGTTACTTTGCCCTCCCTCCTTCCTTCCTTCCTTTCTTTCTTCTTTCCTTTTTGTGCGTTTTTTTTTTTATTTATTTGTTGACGTCAGAGGTCGGAGTTCAACGCTCTGTGCAGGAATACAAGAGTAACAAATACATAGCATATACATTAACAACTTTTGGGCGGAATTTAGTTTCTGATCTGACCACAAAATTTGACTCCTTGCGTTTGGGTATAAACAATTGATCCTTGAATAACATGTGATCCACTGTGAAGCATTTTCTACAATTTATTTTTGTTCACAAATATTTGGACTAAAATACCCGACTCTTGAGGGGTATTGAGCAGCATAAAGATATAAGTAAAAATGAATATATATATATATATATATATAAAATGTATATATATTAAAAACATTTTAATTTAAATTATAATATATTATACATATTTTCCGCCTATGTTATAATATGAAACCACAATATATTGAGTGATATTTATGATATTTATTGAAAATTAGTGTGCAATACTTGGATGGATATTGCCTGAAACTTTTTATTTTAAAAAACTTTCCGCCCATTTTCCGCACGTAAAATATATAAATCTACCCAAAATATATAGTATGATTCTTAAAATAAGTATTCAAAATTAGTTTGCTATCCATGGAATAAAGAACCAAAACTTGTTAGTTAGTCTTTTGTCCTATATATGCCATCCATGACAACAGGTGAATTTTGCGAAGAGTCCGAAAATGATTTTAAAGCCAGGTGGAAAAGAATTTCTTACAATCGCTCCCAGTGTGAATCAGTCAATCAATCAGTCAATCAGTCAGGACGAACAGATTCGAGGTAGCTAAAAATAGCAGAGTTCCTCTAGCTCAGATATTCTTTACATACGTGTGTATGCACGTGCATTTGTATGTATTAAATATATGCACAAACATCGTCAATGTGTGTAATTGCAATTTCACATTAATATGTGTGTGCCGCATGTCCACACACACACATGTATGCATATATATGCTGATCTGTATGAGCACTTATTATTATATTATTATACATATATGTGTGTGGGTGTGTGTGCGTATTATTGTTGTTACAAGTATGTCTGTTTGTGCAATCATCAGCTTGTGCATAGGTATGTGTGTGTGTGTGTGTGTGTGTGTGTGTGTGTGTGTGTGTGTGCGTGT